AATTATAATGAATAAATCACTTATCGTTGTTCATTTTCTATAAAAAAAATAACACAAAAGAATCTTAAGTCTCATTCAAATTTGGTGAACATAAAAAGTTGAACGCTAGAACTTACTTTGCTTTAAATAACAATAAAAGATGACAGAAAAAATGGTGACAAGAAAAACCACGCCCACAACAGTGCCAGTAATAAAACCGATGCTTGTTGTATAATCATATCTTTTTGAACTTTTGGTATTTAGTGAGGCACCTTCAAGAAACAGGTGTCAAATTATGTTTTAAAGAACAGTTTTTGGTAGCTCCACTACATTTAAAGAAGAAATAATTCGAATACCAGACCAACAAATAATGTAAAACAATTGAACTCAAAATAAAACATTTCTAATATGTAAAAAATATACTTTGTTCTGCTCTAGATTAAAGAAGCAACTTTGGAAATTTATTAATGCTTTGTCTGCCATTGTTTTTAACACAAGTAGATAAAGTATACACAAAAAAACGTAAGTACACTGTCCTAGCATTTCTATTAGGCTAGTCGTACAAGTGCCTCTAAAATCACTTGAACGTCAAAATTTAATGAATTAATTTTGGTTCTGCAATATTTTTATAACCATGCTATACTCCAAACATCTTTTATGAACTCATTGACAAGCTCTTCACCCTTCAACTTTATTTAAAATAACAGTAATATTCAATTCAAGCACAACTGGAAACTAAAACAACAGCAACTCGATCAACAGTTCTTTTTTCTTCGCAATATGTTTTTAGCATTATGAACATAGATAGTATACTTTGGTAGCTATACTTTAAACTATGGGCTGAACATTGGCAAAACGCAAAAAAGTAAACTTGAAAAACTTAGTTACCGTTTGTAGAGGCAAACACACTTGATTGCGGAATAGTTGACAATGTTGTCGGTGAGAGGGCCTCAATGGAACCTAGTATAAAAAATTTGCTTGCATAATATTCATTCTAGAATTATTCTAATTCAGGGGCTGGTTTACAAAGCCTGCATAGCGTTATTCAATGGATAGCAAAATATTTCAAACTTGTAGAAATGGTGTTTATATATTTGTTGCGACAAAAAAATTTAGTAATCTTCGAAACAATATTTTATTTCAGTGATTGAACATTTAAAATCGTATAATTTTCTTTCATAAGAGATTTTTTGAAAGTTTAAAAATATTTGCTATCTAATGCAAAGCTATTCGGCCTTTGTGCAACCGGCCTCTGTTGTTTGCATAATACATCTTGATTGCCTTCAAATGAACATCATATTTTTGTTAACTTTAACTTATTAAAAATTTAAATTAGCTTATGCTCTCCTCTTTTAGATTGAAATAATTTATTTTTAATAAGCAACTTTTACAACATTATCATGTAATGTAGCTACATTTTAATGCCAATGTTGCCGAAAAAAAAAATCTTTTGAAATGTTCTAGAAAACTTTTTAACTTACGGACTTATAATTACTTTAAACAATAATTTTCACTGCAAGTAGCAAGGAAAAAAGAATGCACACTACAATTAGACACTGCAAAATGGAATAATTCAAAGAATTGATAAAGATACCGTTTTTAGTAGAAGATATGTTGAATGGCATATCGGTTGAAAACGTTGTTGAAAACCTTGATAAACATGATGTGGGAACTAAAACAAAAGCGTAGGTAAACATAATAAGATTTATTTTTGCAATTCTTTTTGCCTTGGGACTTTATGCTTACTTTTTAAAATTGTTTCCTCTAATTATTTTTAATATAAAAATACATCCTGTTGCCATCACATGCAAGGACAAAAAATTGAGTTTTGTGACAGTACTCACAATGACACGATACTTCAAGCTAGCTCAGGAAACTAATCAATTAAAATTCATAGTAGTTGTGAATTTTATATTGAAGAATTAAGCAAATTTGACATTATAATTTTATCATTTGTTTTTGGTGCTTAAAATTAATGAGCTGGTGATATTCGCATATTTTATTTTAAGAAAAGTTCTTAAAACAATGTTTAAGAAAACCTTTTTTCACGAACTTTATTAACTAAAACAATCGTATAAAAGCATGCACAAACAAAAAACGCACAGTTTAACGATGAAAAACACTGAAAAAAAAACATTAGGAAGTTACTATTTCTAGAAGTAGAATTTCTGGATAGCTTTAAAGTTGAAAGTTCTGTCGGCATTAAACGTGATCAAAAGCAAAAGCAAAAATTCTTTTTAATTCGCAATATCTTTGTATCGTTTTGAGGATGCCATACTTTAAACCATGGGTCTGAACAATTAATCTGATCATATCTTGCAAAAAGTTGTTTTGTTGAGATTTTAATAAACTAACTCAACCATTTTACCAAATGAGAACAACATGCGCTAATCAAATTTATTATTTGATGCATCATAACTTTTTGCCATAATAATTTACATTTAAAGATAGCGTCTATGCATGAAGAAGTAAAAAGCCACAAAACAATGAACCTAATGAATAAAATCAAAGCTTACCAGCGATATACACATTGACATTCCTCGAATAGCGTCTCGTTATGGTAAAAATGTTTAGTGTTTATTTTCCATTATATAAGCTGTCCCATACACGTGAGCGAATTTTATATTATTATCATCATCAAACCCATCTGAAAATTCACGTTTATATATCGATATATAAACGTGAATTTTCAGATAGGTTTGATGATGATAATATAAAATTCCGCTGTTATCATATATTTCTGCAAGTTCTCTACGGGAAGAGGAGCCTTGGTGAGTGAACAGCCACACCCGATGTGTTATTGGGGACGAAACTTTAAACTTCCACGTTATGTTTATAGAAGTTCCACGTCGAAAGAAAAATGTGTTGTCCTTATTTTGAACTACTATCTTTCCTATAAATAGAAGAGTATTTTTTGCATCAGAAGTCATTGAAGATTCAAGAAAATTAAAATTATATGAGATATAATACCTTTGCAAAGAGAAATAAAAATTGTAAAAAAAAACAATTCCAGATGCAGCTTTCATTGTTCTTCCTAAAACGATGTAGTTTTTGCTAAAAATTATATGTAGCATTTTAAGTATCTTTTGAAAACAAGCCTCTTGCATAAAAATCAAACCAAACTAGGTAAATCAAATATTGCCATGATCGAAGGCTCTAACGGTCTATATTGCTTGAACGGTCTAGTGTTAATAATCTTATTTGATTTGAATAATCCTGGACATAATTGCAATCATTTCTATTATTACTCATTAGCTACAATACCATTGTTTTTTTTTCGAGTGTAGACATTTTACAAGAGGTTTTTTTTGCCTACAATCTTAACTACTAGGTTTAAGCCACATATGAGTTCATCTAATCAAAAACAATTTAGATTTTCCTTAGTCTGTTTATTGGGATCCAGATAAGTGGGGTTATCTTTATGAATTGGAAGAAGGTCAGCAAGTATATATCCTGCACAGCATGCGTTTATCTTTCCCAAACTGCACACTTTGAAACTGTTGCCTCGTCACCTCTAAAATTCTTACACTTCTTAATTAATTTACTTTTGCCAAAGCTTTGGAATTATAAGCACTCTATATTTTAATTTTAGATTATTTCTCACCAATATTGCGCGTTTTCATAGTTTATTACATTAGAGTCCCGAGTGTTTCAAACATTCCTTGGATGTAAAATATACAATTAAACTTATATATTATGAAAAGTATAACATTCTTCTGATAAACTAAGAAACTACAAACAGATATAGCGATTTAACCGTGCAAAGTGCTTACAGAAAATATGTTGGAAATAATATTGGTTTAGTACTCTTTTGTCGAGTTTTTTTTGTAAATATTTGGCTGCGAGAAATGTTAAAATAATGTATCAATGAAAAGCAGTTACTTGCCTGGTTTGTGAATTTATGAATTGGTTCTAATAATCTCCTCTTATAATGTGGTAAAAGTTTACTGAGAATTGATTATTCTTCAATAGGGAAATCTATAGTGACATAAGCAAACAACTCTTGATGTTTTATAGTTAGCTTCTTCAAGCAAACTTTCGCGGAATTTAATTTATATTGGCATTGCATTATTCGTATTTTGAAAAGCATTGTCCGTTTTACAACTATCACATAGAAAGTTTTCTTTTCAAAGATATGATACTAAAAGAAATGCATATGGTGATAGACTTTAACGCTGCTTAAAAATAACTTTTTGAAAACGATCTGAAATCGACGTTGTGCATAGCACATATATCAGGAAATATTTATATTCAGAAAAAATTTAATTGTAAATCTACAGCAACTTTATGTCATGCCTTGATCATTATAACAGGAATTGTGATATGTGTGTGCTTTTTCTTTTATTCTAGAAACAGATAAAATGCTTGCAGTAATGCTGGTATGGACAAAAATACCTTGTACTGTGTTACGTGAAATGAGTAAAAATGCGGTTGACAAATGTTTTTGCAATTGCTGACCTTTCACCTTTTTGAATACAAGTACATGTAATGCTGTGAATGTCACCCAAATGACGTATGCTCAAATTTCATAGCAAGAACTTCCCGTAAAAATGTGCACAAAATACAACTCAAACTCTGACTCTTTCTCTTAGCGGCTAGCACTCGGTATACATCAGTATTCTATAGTTGTAATACAACGAAAGTTTTCGGTGAACTTCGTCACTTTATCTGCTGTTTGTTTAAGATTTGTATGTTTTGCCGTATATACAAGCTGTGCATCTAAAATTTATGTGGGCAGACAAAAGTAGTTGCAAATTTAAATTATAAGTAACTATGCAAACTAGGCTTTAATAACAGTATTAACACTAAACGCACAGAAAAAACAAAAGATCAACAAACGTTTTGGCGGCAACAACAAAACTACAATTTCAAGGTTGTAAAACTAACTGCAGAAATTAAACGACTGTTTTGATAGATTCAGAAAATAATTCGACAAGTCAAGGCCAACTGAACAACTATATCGTATCAAAGATAGTTTGATAAAGACTATTCAGCTCAAACTAAGCAAAAACGCGACAAAATTGATAAAACATGTTTTAATTAAAATACAAAGAAAAAGAGACCTTACTTTCTACTTTCGGTAACTCCTCCAAGATCTTGTTTCCAAATAATGGCAACATGTACAAGTACTGATAAATTATGAAAGTCAATATTTACTTTACACTTGATACTTCATTTTGTGAGACAGGGAGTTGAAGTTTCAGACGTTTTCGTGACTTTTATAGAATATTTCTTCTTTAATGGCAATAAACGTTTTTCGCTTTGACAAACAAACATGCAGGAGTTGTCGACAGCATAAAGATAAAACTTAACATATATACAAGTTAATTCACCCAAACAGATAACAAATGTTGACAACTGACTAGTTGTTTGCCTAAATGCAAATTTCTAAAACAGTTCTTTTCCGAACTCTCGATGTTTTCTTCGTTTCTCTGTTTAGTTTTTCTCGGTTTTATCTAGGGTTTCGTGGTTTTATTTGGTTTCAGTCCATTCATAGCAATTGCTCTCTTTAAGGCGATATTCAAATTTGTCACCACGACAAAGTCCTGTTTACAGATTGGGATGATGTGTTGCCTAAGACCGTGAAAGAGAGTTGGGAGATTGGCAGAGAAATGACATTGCCTGAGTAGAGGAAAACCCTGCAGATTTTGGGTAAGGAGGAGTGTTGGTAAAGAGTTGAAAAATAATATATTATGGTGGTCAAGACCATCTTGGTTGCGTGCGTAGTAGTCCCGAATATTATCCTATTGCAGTTATCCTATAGAATAGTTTTGGTGTTGTTTGTAGTATTTTTGTCCTTTTTCTTTAGTTGTGAGTATATGATGGGTATGTCGATATGTCTATTTATTGTGTCGTTGTCTTTACTGTACCAAGCTTCTTTAAATTTGCATGCGTGTTTAGTCTGTGCGCGTCCGAGTACTTTAGTTTCTGTTCAGTCGAATGTGTGGTTGTTTCAGTGGGTATGTTCTGCCGGTAGTGAGTTCGGATCTCGTCGTTTTATGGCGTTTTTGTGTTCTGTGAGTCTTGTTTCGATTTTCTTTGATGTTTGTCCTATGTATTGCTTTGAACAGTCTTTACATGGTATCATGTAGATCGCGTCAGTTGTATCATGAATTGTTGTTTTGTCTTTATGTTTGGTGAAACATGATTTGAGTTGATGTCTGATGGTGTGAGGTTGAATTTTGACTAATGGATACAGGATGTTATAAAGATATTTTGAAAGTTCATACGTAGGTGATCCTGAAAGTGATACGATAGGTCGAAGTCGGTTGTTTTCTTTGTGGAATTTTGGTAGTCCGTAGAATTTGGCGGTGGATGCGTCATTAGGTCGGATTCTTCTGTAATCGTTTTCGGTCAGTTTCTTTTTGTCTTTTGTTGTTTCAGTTTCTGGTTGATGCGGTTGGTGGTCGTTTTTGCTGGGGTCCGCGTGGAGAAGTTCGTAGGTGGTGGTGTCTTGTAGGAGGATTTTGGCTTTGTCGATGTATTCTGATATGTCCATGATAACTGTTTTGCGTCCTTTGTCAGCTCGTAATATGATTATTTCGTCGTCGTTTTGTAGGTATTTAAGTGCTCGTAGTTCTTTGTTGTTTTGGTCTGTTAAGTTGGTGTACTTTAAAGCTGATTCCAGGTCGGCAACGTAGTCAAGTTTCATGTTTGTAAATGATGATCGTCCAGGTTAATAAAGTCCTGAGAAGGACTGTTTTTGTTGTTGTTGACTGACGTTTCGACAACCTTAGCGGTAGTCATCTTCAGAGTCTACCGCTAAGGTTGTTGAAAGGTCAGTCAACAACAACAAAAACAGTCCTTCTCAGGACTATACCAACCTGGGCGATGTACATTTACAAACATGTAACGATACTCACGGGTTCGAGCCATTTACTTTGGTAGTCAAGTTTGTTCGCGTCTTTGAAGTTGTAATGTAATCCTTTGTTTAAAATTTTAGTTTGCTGTGAAGTTAGTGGTTTGCTCGAGATGTTTGTGACAAATTCGTTTGTGTTAGGATGGAGTTGTTTGTAAGATCTGGATTCTTGTAATTTTCGATGAACATATTTATGTGTATTTTATGTGTATTTTATTTATGTATCTTATACATATTTATGTATTTTAAAATTGCCATTACCATGAACTAAAGGAATGTCTCTCATGTTAATTAAAAATCATTTTGCCTCCAGAATGATATACAATACAGTAAAAAAAAAAGGGAGGGTTCATTCCTTGTGACACATAAGAGCAAAAAGACTGTTTATGCTTGAATCAGTAATAAAGAACTGCTTTTTAATCAATGAACGTAATGCGACAAATCGATAACAAAATTTGGCTAAATAAACTACCAAAATTCAATTAAGCCTGAGACTGTCCTAGGAACAGAATTACTGCCCTCGTTAACATATAAATATTGAATTATTTTGTCATCCAAATATTGTAAAAACAACCTATTTCACCGTCTTTTTACTCTTATTCCTTTTCTTATGAATCTGCACTTGTATACTTCGTGTGACATACAATTAAAACGTATGTACTTCGCAAGTATTCTATCCAAACTTTAAATTGGCCGGAAGTTTGTCTTGTGCATGGTGTATATTCAAAGTTATCACAATTAACTTCATCCGACGGAAAACCAATTTGGGTACATGGAAGTCATAACGTTGAACTCGAAATTCATACATCATATCATCATAGTGAATAAAACCGAACGGCTTATTTAACGCTTTGTCTTTGTCGAAGCGTTTAAACTAAAAATGTTTACTTTATACGGAGTGTCAGTTGTCTTATGTTTCAGCATCGTTTCTTACTTTTGATGAAAAAATATGACTTGTACAAACAAAATTTGCCTTTATGGAAATATTATTCTTGTGACATCCTTTTACGCAGAATTTTAATGTATATAAAGATTCACTTTAATATCGTAAAAAATTATCATCGATTTCCGCTCAATGTACTACCTTTCTTCTTAGGTACTTTATTTTCAAAAGCACAAACAAAAGCATTTTAACTGAAGAAATGCTCAATGATTTTTCTCACAATTTGAAATTCAAAATCGCCATAATTTTCGTACTGCGAATTCAATGCACGGCGTGATGGCGTCTTCCAAGTGGTATGAATATTTACGCCAACACCTTACAGCAAAACAATCTTTTTTCTTAAGACTTACAACAGCAAGTACACATGTGCATTAACAATAAAACGAAATACGAAATGTAACTTACCCAGATATTTTGGCTTGTTTCTTTGGCTTGTTTCTTGTTTCTTGTCTCTTGTATTTAATACGTCGACAATGTCGTGAACACAATGAAAATGCCCTTATTTAATATTTAATTTTCTAGATATTGAGACGACAGCTAAAGTGTGATCTTCTGAAGTGCTCGATCGGTCTTTTAGCAACTAAACCACCAAACTGAACATTCAACAGCTCAACTAAGTAAGAAACATGTTCACTTTCGAATGTTCGATTGCTGTTGCTAAGCAGTTTGCACTATAGAGTTTATTTTAAGGTCATGTGACAGTATCAAATTCAAAAACAAATTCTGATATTCATAGGTAAATATGCATAAAAGGCTCCTCCCAAAGTGGGCAGGGCGTAATCTAATTCTTAATTGAATACCATAAAGTTCATATGGAAATAAGTACTTGAAGGAAAATTAATTGCAAATCACATGAATACATTTTAAAATGTTTGTTTTACATTTGTCTGTTTGCATTATTGCTATTTTCTAAAGAAATAAAAGATGATTGTGTTTGCACTGGCTTAGGTAAATCGAGGAGACGTTTATGAGAAGTATCAAGCGGGTAAAAGGTGCAACCATCGACAACTCGACCTTCGGTCTCAAGCTTTCACTGATTTTCTCTCAAGTTCTCCTAAGTCTCCTCAGTTTGTATAAGCCTTTAAATAAAAACATAAATAAGTCAGAAAACTATGTAGAGACAGGCAGACTGAGGTCAAGTCAAGATTTCCAAAAAAGTATTCCTAAAATGAAAATGTTGTGTATTGAAATGTTCAAAAGATGAAAGGTCTATTTCTTTGACCATCCTGTGCAAACATATATTTTATATATTTTTGAAAAACAAGCTGAGAAGAACTATGACTTGTGTAATGGTAACAATACCATTATCCAGACAGGACACAGTAGTTAGTGGAACTGAGGAAGGTGGGACAAACCTGATAAGGAACTGTTTAGTTACACAACGTGACTGGGCAGATAAAGCAAATGTTTCCGGATCTCGTGGTGTGTGGATAATTTCTTTGTTGACTGTGGCAACAGATTAATCATAAGACCACAAGAGATTTTTGTTAAGGACTGAATTTAAATTTTGTGTATAGGTGTAACACAGGTGTAACATAATAACGTTCATTATCTGTAATACTTCATTAAAAGAAAATTTAAGCAAATCGCTCTTTTATAGCAAACTTTAGCTCTAACCACACAATGCAATTAACATCTCGAGCTTCGCTTTAGAGTTAATGGAAATGTTTAATTCAATTTATCCAATGCTCAATCAAAATGCTCCAATCTTGTTATCATATGTATTTTAGTATTTCTATAATTTCGTAAAAGCACTATTGCCAATGCACATTTAATATAAACGACAACTTTTTTGAAAATAGACATGTTTCGACATCTCATGATGCCATCTTCAGTGTGAGTGAAATAATAGGTGATACAAGGTTTATATAAAAGTAATATGATACATAAATTACAACAATAAAAAGGAAATAAGATAAATTAATGAGGAGCGTCTGAGCGTATTATAAACTAAATATTGTATTGAATTTAAAAACTTGAACATTGAGGTCAGGGTTAGTTTTGTTAATGTGGAGTGCTTCTTTGATTTTAAGGGTGAATGAGGTGTCGGGCTGTCTGCAGTGTCGATGATTTTGAAACAAGAGGGTGAATAGTTGGTTTTGCATGAGTGAGATTTAAGAAAGTGTCGGTAGAAATGACAGTTTTTCTCTGTTGTGGTATGTTCCCTGATTCTGGTGGATAAATGGCGCGAAGTTTCGCCAATGTATCGGGAATTACATCCCGCGCAATTGAAATCATATACCACCATAGATTTAAGTGAACCAGGGATTGGGTCTTTGAATGAGAAAAGGTTTTTGATTTTGAATGATGTGAAAATTAGTCGAATGTCAATATCTGTACAGAAGCGTTTCATAATGTTTGTAAGTCTGCGTTGTGTGTGTTGTGAGTAATGTCCGATGTATGGTAGTTTGAAGTATAGAGTTGTAATGTTGGGTATATACCTTCTAATGAATACTCAATACTCTTTTTGGTGCTATAATCTGCATGTATTTTTTCTTCAGCATAATTCATTGTATTTGTTCATCGATATCCCCCACCTATTGCTTGATGGCTACGGTTGGATATTGTGCTGCTCATGTGATGCAAATGAAAACAATTGTTGAAGCCCTACCTAATAATATACAATTAGATCCTCAAAAGGTATGTAAAATAGATGTTATACTGAAATAAATTATTAAAACAGGCCAAACAACATTTTGTACTTGTCAGATATAGCATATCCCAGTTGCATACACATGTGCAATGGAAAAATATCTGGTTGTATATGATAGAAAGTTTGGTATTGAAGCCAATTTTATTGAAAAAGTAAGTGTTGTGTGAACATTACTCTTTCAGGATATAAGGTGTCTGAACAGCTTCACACAAATTTTGACTTACACTTACATACTATTTGTTTGAAGACCCTCCAAGATCTGAGAACTTGTTACATATTAATCTGACATTGCATAAAGTGAATGTCTCAAATTTGTATTTGGCTTATTTTTTCAATGTAAAGTTCTTCATGTGGTATGGGAGGAAATGTCTTTATCCTTAAATATCAGTTTATTGTACATTTCAAACCCTTGTGAAGTCATCCTTCTGTGTTTTTACAAGACCCTTGTTTGACATTGTTCTTATTACATGTGGACGTTAACCAGCACAGCTTTACAAGCAAAAATATTGTTAAAACTTGTGAATGATTATTTATACAATATATTTATCTCATCCAATTTCTTTTATGAATGCAGAATCCACATCCATGATGCAGTCTGTTTTCAGTGATCATTCCTACCATGAGATGCAACCTGAAGAGTATGTTTTGTTATGTAGAAATAACTTTTTGTACAAATACATTATAGTTTCTCAACCTTCTAATAACCACAATTTTTAACATACATCCTGTGCCTAAGTTCAGGAGCTTCTATAAAGCTATTATGGTGATAACCAGCTCAGGGCAAAATTGAATTTATTTATGACTATTGAGGTATACACATTCATACTCACATACATACATAGCCACATACTTACAGTACATACATTAAGTAGTATAAACTAAATGTATGATAAAAATAATAAGAGTCATATTCACCATTTGCTACGTGCCTGATATATATTAAGCACTTTCCTGGGATTTGTGAGTCATAATTAATCATAATTGATGAATCTGCATACACATACACACACACACATACACATACATACACATGCATACACGCACATACATACACATACTTACATACCTGCATACATACGGACACAAACATACATGCATTACATACACACACATACATGCCTGCACATACATACACAGACACATACACGCACATACATACGCACACATGCATACACACACACATGCAGAAGCACACATACATACACATAATACCGCAATAAGGATAAATGAGTTTACATATTTTGGGACTTTGTTTTAGTCTGGCAATATGCAGGAGTTCAATGGATTGTTATGGAAACCAGTCAAGATAGTCCATGGGGGTTTGCAATATTTGCATATTCCAAAGTAACAAAAAGTTCCATTTCCAGAATAACCATCGTTGCAATTACATAAATAAGATCCCTCTCTATTAACACAGATTGAGTTTTGATGACAATTGTGGATAGAAAGAGAACATTCATCAATATCTATAACAAAAAATATGTGTATTTGCGATTCGTATGTAATTCAAAGGACTAATTTGAAAATCATACTTTACATGACAGACCTTCACAAAAACTTCCATTTCCAGAATAACCAGCGTTGCAATTACATAAATAAGATCCATTGGTGTTAACACCGGTTGAGTTTTGATAACAATTGTCGATAGAAAGAGAACATTCATCAATATCTATAATAAAAAATACGTGTATTTGCGAATCGTATGTAATTCAATTGACTAATTTGAAAATGTTACGTTACAAGACTGACCTTCACAAAAAGTTCCATTCCCAGAATAACCAGCGTTGCAATTACATAAATAAGATCCTTTTGTGTTGAAACAGATTGAGTTTTGATGACAATTTTCGATAGACAGGGAACATTCATCGACATCTAACAATAATAAACAATTCAATTTAAAATTTTGTTAAAAATTAAATCTTAGTTGATAAAACGAACCTTCGCAAGTTTTTCCATTTCCAGAATAACCAACAATGCAGTTAAATAAGATCAATTGGTGTTAACACAGATTGAGTTTTGATAACAATTGTCGATAGAAAGAGAACATTCATCAATATCTATAACAAAAATTATGTGTATTTGCGAATCGTATGTAATTCAATTGACTAATTTGAAAATGTTACGTTACATGACTGACCTTTACTAAAAGTTCCATTTCCAGAATAACCAGCGTTGCAATCACATAAATAAGATCCCTCTCTATTAAGATTGGGGTGGTGTACACCAGCACACCAATAATTTCATTGTGCCCTCCGGAGATCTTGTCAAAGAATGGCATACTTTCCAGACTTGCATGTATTCATTCAAATTCAATGATTTCAGGGTAAGAATGGCATTCTCGAGTCGCCAACTGGTACTGGTAAAACACTGTAGCACTCTGTGCAACATTGACTTGAGCATGCTACAAATCACATTTACAACTCAGCAACTGAATACCAAGAAATACTGACAGAAAAAAGCAAATGGCGGTTTTATGAAAACTTAGGAAAACTTAGGAGTCAGCCAGCTATTGGTTGGTCAGATGATGATGATGGAAACCCAGGTTGGTTTTAGTTTGTGTTATTTTCTTACTCTCAGTTTGACATATTCGTATTAAGATCTTCATGTTGAATGACCATCTAGACTGGAAGGTTTGTATTGGCGCATAGAATGTGCAACTTTGAGAAAATAGTTTTACGTGTGCAGATTTTCAATCTCAGGTGTGCGGTTTACAAACTTTCTGTCTGTATGACTGTAAGGTTTACAAACTTTCTGTCTGTATGACTTTGTAAAGTTTCAACTTTGACAAATGGCTGATTGCTGAAGTTCCTGTTGTTATATTACATTGATATGTAAATATTTGTGTGTGGTAAATTACAGCCTATACAAATGGGAATTTTTGGGACTGTGGCCATCTGACCATTTTTTTATCAAGACACTCTGCCTGTATCCAAGAATTATGCTTAAATGTGCAACTCTCTGTATCTCTTCAAACTTTTCAGATGCAGTTGTGTCGTGCTAAAGTTGAAATCAAGAAATGTCACTACTATAATAATTTAGAAAAAAGGTAAAAAGATTAAAAGAAACTGTAAGAAGAGTTTTTGGCTAAAAACAAACTATGTTGAACTGTGTTTTAAAATATCATCATAGTCACAGTTGATCTTCTAGTTCAGTTGAGTAAGGCATGAACAATGATTATCTTGTTATTATACCTGAGTACATCACAACAACGTTATGTTTATTAACATGATATTAAGGTGAAAGAGAAACTAGAACTGTACTGTCTTCTTAAGTCCAGTGTGCGAATTAACGGTGTGCAATGTTACCGAATTTGCACATCGTTTTAGCTAAATGAAAACAATTGCACATCACTTTTTTAGACATTTGCAAAAACGTCTTTATTTATTACTACCATATAAATTGAAAAAAATTTTCAAGCTTAATCTTTACTGATCTTTACTTTATAAACGAGTGCGCTGCACGACATTAAAATCCTTGTTTTGACAATGTCATCAAATTCAAAGACGTTGTCACTGAGACTGGGAAGTCTGTCAACAGCCTACATACATGGTGCTTATATGCTAATGACAATAGGGATGTAATACATCATTAATGTCAATTTTTGCATTTGCGTTGTTTTATAAACCGTTACGTACTGTTTTTGGCATCATAGCTACTTTGAGTATTTTCAGTAAAATCAGGAAACATTTTGATTTTGATTCTTAGAAGACGACAGAAAAACTTAATAAATAGAATTTGAAAAAAATAAACTAAAGGAATTTTGATAACGTGAGAAGAAATAGAATTTGATTATGCCTCTAAAAGAAACACTTTTGTCAAAAAATTGCACATCGTTTTTCTCAACTAATTCGCTCACTGTTCTTAACGCATAATTTTGATTTTCTGTAGAAATCCTAGCAAACAATATCTTTCAGATATATTGGACATTGAAGATTTAGTTAGTCTAGGCAAAAAACAAAGTGTACATGTCATTAAACTCTCTTTTAGTTCGACTTTACCATTTCTTATTATTACTGTCTTTAAAACTTTATTCAACATGTCTTGACAGTTGCTGTCACGTATTTATCTCGTCAACAGAAGAAATCTGCTGATATAATATTTATGTATAATTGCTAATTGATAGCAAGGTTGGTTTTAACTTTGAACAAATGTGTTATTTTTTTCATCATTGTAAATCATTTGTAAACTGTTGACACTGAACTATATACATGTGTGACGTCAACCTCAGCCCTCGTACACCTAATCAGGCGTTAGGTGTTTGTTAGTGGAAATTTTCCAGATTATTTCAGTCCTGAGAAGGACTGTTGAATTGATGATGGTGACTGATGTTTTGGCAACCTTAGCGGTAGTCATGAGTTGAGTGAGGAGTAAATGTATGGTTAGACAACAAATACGGCTAACCTGACGTTTTGCTTCTCCTTGACTCTGCTAGATGACTACCGCTAAGATTTATTGAACGTCAGTCAACATCTACATAACCAGTCTTTCTAAAGACTCGACCTTGGACGATCTACAGCAACAAACATGTAATAACAGTATTCGGGCTCAAACCATTCACTTTACTAATCGGGCGTCTTGGTGCGCAAAGATAATGAAATTTAGCAAGATGATGTCATTTTCATCATCTAATGAAATCTTCTGAGTAGGTTGCATGTTTTGGCTTCCACATTGTGATCTGAAGTTGATTTCGTTGTATATAATTCAGTGGATAGTTGAAGATGTAACTTCACGAGATGATCACTAAAGTTAGCTAAAAGCTTGTTTACGTTAAGAGTTGTACACTCTTGTTTATCCTCGGGTTCATGAGGAACAGAAATACTTAAATGACGTAGCCAGCCGTTTATTTAGTCGCGCTGTGCATATTATTCGCTCACCCTTCGAGAATAGAGAACAGCAGCATTTTTAATGAAATCAAAAGTAATAATGTTCTGAGATTGATAACGTCCTGGTTAGAATTAGGGGTATATATGGTACCAGTGGGGATTGTAATGGATTGAATTTCATACTTTGATTCTTTCATTCAGGCTAGAAACATGAACAGTACATCAGAATATCCAAAGAGCATTATTTTATTTGACGAAGCTCACAATATAGTAAGACGTTTTTCTTCCTTACATACATCATCCACACATATACATATGTCTGTCACGGCTTTGTTTCTCTTTCAAAACTTCAATTAGTTTAGATTGTAAATTTTGACAAACCTTTAATACGAAATCATAACCACCGCAGAATTATTCAAATGTAAGGATTAAGTCAAAATAGTCTAGCTTTGCTTAGATTAGAACTAAATCTACCTTTCCGACGGTTGACACACGGGTCAAAATACGAGATCAAATCACAAAATTCCGGACATAGTATTGTTTATGTAGAATAGTGGCAATGAAATGGTTAGGAGAGGCTTTTGAGTTTTTGGGGTATCTGTGAATTTTGAAAGAAAGGCATAACAGTAAATATGAACTATTTTGCGTTAAATAGGTATCAAAGGAAAGCTTGAATACTGGTATGTTGTCGTGCAAATGTTTTTTGTAAGGATTATTACGAACTTTAGGCCTGACTTAAATGCAGTAAAATCGGATCTGGGTATTCTTGGAATGAATTGCACATACTACATGCACGTACGTGATAAATTAGACAGCTGTCTCTATGACATAAGGGTTCAACTTAGACGATACAAATGGCATGTAAAAACTATTATAAAAAAGTAGATAATCCTTTTTTTCCACGAAGCCCATGGAAAAATAGTTCATATTTACTGTTATGCCTTCTTTCAAAATTCACAGATACCCCAAAACTCAAAAGCATCTCCTAAGCATTTCATTGCCACTATTCTACATAAACAATACTATGAACTATTGATAAAAACTATTATAAAAAAGTACATAATACTTTTTTTCCACGAAGCCCATGGATGCTTTCGTTCATGATGGGAGGCTCTCGTTCATACGAGAAGTTACATTGTAAAAGGTAACAATTAAAAACATATAAACAACACGCAGAAGTTGTTCGAACCTTTGCAGTATCCTCGGATGTTTTAGTTTCTTTTATGAGAAGAACTCTTGTAAACGAAAAGATATAATTCGAAAAAAGACAAAAGTTTTCTACAGGGAGTAGACCCTCTGTTGTAAAGTTTTCTACAGGGAGTAGACCCTCTGATGAAGAGTACTCTAACTTTAACATTTTTCTTTTCTTTAGTAAACTTTGCTCAGGTTGTCCCTGATGGAATGTTGGTGTTTTTTCCATCCTATACCTCGCTTGAGGTCGCTGTTCAAAACTGGAAGGTCCTGGATATCGCTTTTCATAAATCATGAAAACAAAATTTGATCTTAAATAACATGAAAATAAGATCAGTAGAGTAAAATAATGGTCGTTGAAATTGATAAGAGAATTATAGTTTTTATTTCATTGTGTATTATAGACACTGCTTCTGCCTACAAGAATGAAGAAGACATCGGAAAAAGCTTGAAAACATTGTTACCAAAATATGGTCTTAAAAGATCTGACATATTCATAACTAGCAAGCTTGGTGAGTGTCGAAAATATTGTCAATGATCGAAATATTCTCTCTCCATTGGGAAGAAATGTACCCTGACGCGCTGGTCGCTTGTAGCACTGTGATGTACATATTGCTGTCGGTGTGGCGATCTGAGAGACTGAGAATATTAAAACATTCAGAAATCAACCGAAAAATAGGTGTATAATGTTTGTAAGTATTAGGACTATATAATGCGTTATTACTGTGGAGGTACGGAATACAATCTCAGTATAATGGCTAACTCAGACCGCCACACCGGACCAGTTTGAGATATTTTTCACCTTCACATTTTGTTGGTCTGTCTAGGACAATTTGTGATGTCGTGTTTTTTCGTGATACAAAAATTTTTCAGCAAGGCTTTTCATTTTGCGAGCGGATGCAGATGTATGAAGTTTTGATATAGCGAATCAGTTGAATTATTTTTCTCCTATAGGCAATTTTCAATTTGCATGTTATGTCATAGCAAAACCGCTCTGCATTAAGTCTGTTTTTTGCAGTAATTGGTGAAGAGAGGACACGTATTCCTTAATAGACAAGACAGTAAGCGTAAATAATTGCAAAGGATCTAGCTACAACAATAACTGTAAAACGGGAAGACGGTTTTTACTTCTGTACGGTAACTGCTCGATGGAAATTCCAATCTGAAGACAGTTTGTTGTAACCATATTTTATATTTGTTTAAAGCTCTAAATGATCAAGGTCTTGATACTGCGTACAGTGCGTGTTTACGAGCAATAGAAAACATCGGATACGAATATTTAGATTTATATCTGATTCATTGGCCTGGAGCAGCGCAACTTAAACGCGAGGATCAATGTTGTAATCAATTAGAAGAATGGTGAAGTGAATATAAAATTTATTCGACCAAATTATCCAGCAAGATCCTGTGCATACGTACATGGCCAAGAAAGAATAATGCATGCATTGTACCTATTGTAAATGTTTTCTGCATCATAATTGCGCCTGTCAAATAAACTGAGAAAGAATTTACATACTTCACAAGGATTACACCAAAATGATTGAAAATAAGTAGAGTAAAATAATGGTCGTTGAAATTGATAAGAGAATTATAGTTTTTATTTCATTGTGTATTATAGACACTGCTTCTGCCTACAAGAATGAAGAAGACATCGGAAAAAGCTTGAAAACATTGTTACCAAAATATGGTCTTAAAAGATCTGACATATTCATAACTAGCAAGCTTGGTGAGTGTCGAAAATATTGTCAATGATCGAAATATTTCTCTCTCCATTGGGAAAGAAATGTACCCTGACGCTGGTCGCTTGTAGCACTTGTGATGTACATATTGCTGTCGGTGTGGCGATCTGAGAGACTGAGAATATTAAAACATTCAGAAATCAACCGAAAAATAGGTGTATAATGTTTGTAAGTATTAGGACTATATAATGCGTTATTACTTGGAGTGTACGGAATACAATCTCAGTATAATGGCTAACTCAGACCGCCACACCCGGACCAGTTTGAGATATTTTTCAGCTTCACATTTTGTTGGTCTGTCTAGGACAATTTGTGATGTCGTGTTTTTCGTGATACAAAATTTTTCAGCAAGGCTTTTTCATTTTGCGAGCGGATGCAGATGTATGAAGTTTTGATATAGCGAATCAGTTGAATTATTTTTCTCCTATAGGCAATTTTCAATTTGCATGTTATGTCATAGCAAAACCGCTCTGCATTAAGTCTGTTTTTTGCAGTAATTGGTGAAGAGAGGACACGTATTCCTTAATAGACAAGACAGTAAGCGTAAATAATTGCAAGGATCTAGCTACAACAATAACTGTAAAACGGGAAGACGGTTTTACTTCTGTACGGTAACTGCTCGATGGAAATTCCAATCTGAAGACAGTTTGTTGTAACCATATTTTTATATTTGTTTAAAGCTCTAAATGATCAAGGTCTTGATACTGCGTACAGTGCGTGTTTACGAGCAATAGAAAACATCGGATACGAATATTTAGATTTATATCTGATTCATTGGCCTGGAGCAGCGCAACTTAAACGCGAGGATCAATGTTGTAATCAATTAGAAGAATGGTGAAGTGAATATAAAATTTATTCGACCAAATTATCCAGCAAGATCCTGTGCATACGTACACCAAGAAAGAATAATGCATGCATTGTACCTATTGTAAATGTTTTCTGCATCATAATTGCGCCTGTCAAATAAACTGAGAAAATTTACATACTTCACAAGGATTACACCAAAATGATTGAAAATAAGTAGAGTAAAATAATGGTCGTTGAAATTGATAAGAGAATTATAGTTTTTATTTCATTGTGTATTATAGACACTGCTTCTGCCTACAAGAATGAAGAAGACATCGGAAAAAGCTTGAAAACATTGTTACCAAAATATGGTCTTAAAAGATCTGACATATTCATAACTAGCAAGCTTGGTGAGTGTCGAAAATATTGTCAATGATCGAAATATTTCTCTCTCCATTGGGAAAGAAATGTACAAGCCCTGGTCGCTTGTAGCACTTGTGATGTACATATTGCTATCGGTGTGGCGATCTGAGAGACTGAGAATATTAAAACATTCAGAAATCAACCGAAAAAATAGGTGTATAATGTTTGTAAGTATTAGGACTATATAATTCGTTATTACTGTGGAGTGTACGGAATGCAATCTCAGTATAATGGCTAACTCAGACCGCCACACCCGGACCAGTTTGAGATATTTTTTCACCTTCACATTTTGTTGGTCTGTTTAGGACAATTTGTGATGTCGTGTTTTTCGTGATACAAATTTTTCAGCAAGGCTTTTTCATTTTGCGAGCGGATGCAGATGTATGAAGTTTTGATATAGCGAATCAGTTGAATTATTTTTCTCCTATAGGCAATTTTCAATTTGCATGTTATGTCATAGCAAAACCGCTCTGCATTAAGTCTGTTTTTTGCAGTAATTGGTGAAGAGAGGACACGTATTCCTTAATAGACAAGACGGTAAGCGTAAATAATTGCAAGGATCTAGCTACAACAATAACTGTAAAACGGGAAGACGGTTTTTTACTTCTGTACGGTAACTGCTCGATGGAAATTCCAATCTGAAGACAGTTTGTTGTAACCATATTTTTATATTTGTTTAAAGCTCTAAATGTCATTTGTCTAAAAGTGTGTTAAAATGCAAAGACTATAGTCTCTAGCATAAAAAAGTGCAAAAATGGAAGGACTATAGTCGTTCATGTGAAAGTGTGTAAAAATGCAAAGACTATAGTCTTTTGTAAAAGTGTGTAAAATTGCAAAGACTATAGTCTTTTGCGTAAAAGTGTGTAAAAATGCAAAGACTATAGTCTTTTGTGTAAAAGTGTGTAAAAAAGCAAAAATATAGTCTTTAGCATAAAAAAGTGTAAAAATGGAAGGACTGTAGTCTTTCATGTGAAAGTGTGTAAAAATGCAAAGACTATAGTCTTTTATGTAAAGGTGTGTAAAAATGCAAAGACTATAGTCTTTTGTAGTGAAAATGAAATAAGATCTTTTTGCGTAAAAGTAAAATGCAAAGACTATAGTCTTTTGCGTAAAAGTGTGTAAAAATGCAAAGACTATAGTCTTTTGTGTAAAAGTGTGTAAAAATGCAAAAATATAGTCTTTAGCAAAAAAAAGTGTAAAAATGGAAGGACTATAGTCTTTCATGTGAAAGTGTGTAAAAATGCAAAGACTATAGTCTTTTGTGTAAAAGTGTGTAAAATTGCAAAGACTATAGTCTTTTGCGTAAAAGTGTGTAAAATTGCAAAGACTATAGTCTTTTGTGTAAAAGTGTGTTAAAATGCAAAGACTATAGTCTTTGCGTGTAATAATAGACTATAGTCTTTTTGCTAAAGTAAAATGCAAAGAATATAGTCATTTGTCTAAAAGTGTGTTAAAATGCAAAGACTATAGTCTTTAGCATAAAAAAAAATGGAAGGACTATAGTCTTTCATGTGAAAGTGTGTAAAAATGCAAAGACTATAGTCTTTTGTGTAAAAGTGTAAAATTACAAAGATCTATAGTCTTTTCTTGAGTATTAAAAATGCAAAGACTATAGTCTTTTGTGTAAAAGTGTGTAAAAATGCAAAAATATAGTCTTTAGCAAAAAGAATGTAAAAATGGAAGGACTATAGTCTTTCATGTGAAAGTGTGTAAAAATGCAAAGACTATAGTCTTTTGTGTAAAAGTGTGTAAAATTGCAAAGACTATAGTCTTTTGCGTAAAAGTTTGGAAAAATGCAAAGACTATAGTCTTTTGCGTAAAAGTGTGTAAAAATGCAAAGAATATAGTCATTTGTCTAAAAGTGTGTTAGAATGCAAAGACTATAGTCTTTAGCATAAAAAAGTGCAAAAATGGAAGGACTGTAGTCTTTCATTTGAAATTCTGTTTTCTTCGTGTTGATGATAACGCCAAAGGATTTGGTAGCAGCCTCGAAGCTATCCATAATGCGCTGAAGGGATTCCTCCGAGTTGGCAACAAAAGCGCAATCATCTGCATATTGAAATTCTCTCATCAGTGTCCGCGTGCATTTGGTGCTGGATTGGAGGCGACGAAGGTTGTAGAGCGAGCCATCCATCCTGGATCGTATGTATATGCCTTCTTCAGGTATGTTTTCAAAGGCATATGTGAAGAGAGCAGTCGCAAAGAAGGAGAAGAGGGTGGGAGCAAGTATACAACCTAGCTTCACTCTATTGTTGTATTGAATGTCACGAGTCAACTCGCCGCCTACCGAGATCTTGACGCACATGTTGATATGTAATAACTTTAAGATATTGACAAATTTTTGCTACATTGATGGAAAGCTCTTTTACAACAACATTTGATCTCATTCGTAATCTAAAGTCAACAGAACGAAAGGTCAAATTTTAAATTAAATTTAGTAATTAAGAAATAAAAGATGTTTACTGTGTTTGCACGGGACTTATGCAAACCGACCTTTGGGAGAACTCGAGAGCAGATCACTGTAAGCCCGAGATCACTGTAAGGTCGAAGGTTGCACATGCTCGAGAGTTCTCACAAACGTCTCCGAGGTTTGCACAAAACAGATAAAATGCAGATAAATTCAAAACAAACGCTTGAAATTTTCCTCTAACATTATTCATGATTTACTTGCAAATTCTCTTCACTTGATTGAGCGGATATTAATTTCCACAGACTAATACAAATTCGGCTATAGACAAATCATCGCACTTGTTTTTTTATATTATAAATGAAACAGAGACTTTGTCGTGGTGACAAACTTAAAGATGGATTTCAAAATAGCAAATACCATGATGAATGGTGATAATAACAATGTAATAGTTCTTATAGTTCTTTTAGTTCTTCCATAGTTCTTTTAGTTTTAACCAGAACACTAGCCCAACAATTCAAAGGAACCGTTACTTACAGTGTCTCTTTCGGTTCTGGTTAAAACTAAAAGAACTATGGAAGAACTAAAAGAACTATAAGAACTATTACATTGTTATTATCACCATTCATCATGGTATTTGCTATTTTGAAATCCATCTTTAAATATATTATAAATATAAAATGAAAAAAAGTAGTTTCACATTGTTATGTTTACCTAATCCAGTGTGATCTAGCTGTCCATCAGATTGCCAGTAGGTATTACTATCTCCATTCGTTAACCTATAAAATAGACGGATATATTGACTTTACCTTACAATGTCATGTGACATTATATTTGTGCTCTTTATGCTATAAGATTATTGATGCACATGCGCAAATGAAGGCCAATACTATCCTCCACTATCCTCGTTCATCATACATTATACATGCTTGTCATGTCACAGAATGTTTTTTGTTTCATAAAAAAACAAATAATTAAGGCACATAAGACATTAAAAGCATCAATATTCTCTTTGTAATTGCAAAAAATAAGTTCAAATTGCAGAGATTTCGAGCTCAAAAGTTTGACTGTCATTCATAGCTCGCGCAATTGTCAACGGGCACGCGAGGGACAACTTGCGTAAATCGCTCGCATCCCCTATTCAAAGCTCTGTAATGAAAATTATGATCTCCAATACCATTTATCCATGCATATCTACACAAGCTGACGAAGACTAGCGTACTTTACATCCTTGTAAGTCATAGATCAATGTCCCCTATTCGCCATAAACGTCAACACTTATCCATACATGTCAACCCATTCACATACATGAATGTCCCTATTTGTCATAAACGTCAACACTTATCCATACATGTCAACCTGCACCATTCACAAACATGAATGTCCCCTATTCGTCATAAACGTCAACACTTATCCATACATGTCAACTTGCACTATTCATATAGATATATTAATACATTTATAAAACATTTCCTAAGACAAAAGGTCACCTGAAAACATCAGCTTTGTTGCTGGATGTTTCTGTTGAACTAAAACATTTGGTCAAAGGACGAAGATACTCCCCCGCTTCACACGATGGTTCATTTTTCTTCAACTCAGCTAGAACAATAAACAACAGAATTTCAAACCTCAACAGCAACCAACATTAAATAATTGTTACATACAATGATTTTTAAATTCTGAGAAAAGGTATGTTCAGGTAAAGAGTAACTGCTACTGAATATAAACATGGAAAGTTGAATCATACGTTGTGTAAATTGTACCTTTAACCTTTATAACCTTCAAATGAGAATTTAAAACTTTTAATCTCATTTCTGTTGTGTTGCAAAATCCTTCAATTACAGGTGTCTGAATGGATGGACTTGGAGCTCGATTGCGTAGAATCACCTAGAAAAAACCAACATTTATTCCATGTTCATCAAAGCAAACCGAATATCAAAGCTTCAAGCTATGAAGAGTTTTATAACAATGGCAGCATTTTAAATACCTTTAAAAGGCGTTTGCCATGGTCAGAAATTGAATGTTTATTTGCAACAAATGCATCAATTATTCCTGAGGAAAAAACATTGAAAATTTTCCAGGTCATGTCCATAATATGAGTACATCATACTAGAGCAGTGTAATTAACCAAAAATCTGTTTTTTCAGTCCTATTTTAAACACCAAAAACTTTAAAGGCCAAAGAACCGATGTTTCAGTTTCATTTTTCCATGTTCATCAAAGCAAACCGAATATCAAAGCTTCAAGCTATGAAGAGTTTTATAACAATGGCAGCATTTTAAATACCTTTAAAAGGCGTTTGCTATGGTCAGAAATTGAATGTTTATTTGCAACAAATGCATCAATTATTCCTGAGGAAAAAACATTGAAAATTTTCCAGGTCATGTCCATAACATGAGTACATCATACTAGAGCAGTGTGATTAACCAAAAATCTGTTTTTTCAGTCCTATTTTAAACACCAAAAACTTTAAAGGCCAAAGAACCGATGTTTCAGTTTCATTTTTCTGTTCAACTACCGAAAAAGGGCCATCTTATTTCAGGAGTAATCGTTCCAAAACTAATAAAATGTCGGGAAAACAAAATAGTTCAGTTTTTTCCCATTCAAAACCGCACGAAAAGCGTCTCATATGGAAGTATTTCAAAAAAGTAAACAAGAAACAAGTTTGCAGTCTGTGTAGAAAACATATCTTATCAAACATTTTAAAAATCAAATTGTATATCAACGCAGGTTTTTGTCGTACATAAACATCGTCCGTTTGGAAACGCCGTAAAAGCTAAGTTGATGGTCAACACAGTCACGAAATTAATTAATAACTGTTTTACAAAGAGACAAACGTACTCAACAAAAGACTCGAAAATTAACGCTCCCCTAATAGCTAAATGTAATCTCCAAAAACCCCTTTCTCACGTAATTTTAACCCTTTGTCACACGAGCTATCTTTTGATATAAGTTCCATTATTTTTGCATTGTAGATACTATGGTCACAACGCACAATAAAGGTTTTACCAACCAATTATTAACTCTATGATTACGTAATTCAACTCGTCCCAGTTCCCCAACATCATTTAACATGGCAGAGTCAAGAATTTTGTGGACTGGGTGCTAGGTTATTGACATTGATAAACATTGATAAACATTGATAAGCATTTAACATTTGAATTGCTCCTCCTTTGTGTGAAAGAACTGAAACCAAACTTCAAAAACAAGACAGTGAAACCAAGATAAAGGTTCCGCACAGCTCTACATCAAACATTTCTCACCTGGACATATTGAACATGCTTTCAATGTCTTCAGAGATGAACTTAATTCTCCTTTCTGTGCATGCATCGTCCCAGATGTTACAAGAGCCTTAAGTGAAATGAAGAGTTATTTTAAACACGAGAATTGATGACTAAAGTTCCATTAAAGTTCATACTAACATTATGTAAAAAATCAGGATCAAGAACGCCATCTCCTTCTACGTCAAACTGATTGAACAACTAAAAAAATCCCAAGGAAAACATCACAAAGATTATCTAAAAAGGACTTGCCTATGAGCTTGGCACTCACTTCCGTTGCATCATCTTTGCTTACACTTCGATCACTCAACATATCAATAAATTGTGTCAAAGTAATTGTTTCCTAAAATGTTTCATCAACATTGTGTTTAACAAATAGTGATTTTCTACAGATATTGCACAACATGATATGATATGAAAGGAATTCTATTTAAAATAAGCAGAGAATTGTATTTCTTGTGTTTGTGTGTCCGCTTACTTCATGTCTGGATCGTCTTTCTTCAACCCAGCGTTATAGCTGACTATGATGCTGCTGAAGTGTTGAAACTGTGGGCTCCTCTCTAGAAATGTTTTAAATAAAACTATGATTTTACCATCTTTACTTCCATACATAGATGTGAGATGTGTTTGATCAATAGAATGAAAAGGAAAGGATCTTTGAGGATCTGAATGAAAAGCATCAATCATGTGATCACCATTTCCTTGATCCATTAACATCATTGTGATCTTCTTTTGAAATGGCCATGATTGTAGCGCATCGTAATCACCTAGAAATAATAAAAAAACTATTAAAACAAATAATATACAAACAAAAACTAATTAAACGACTTGTCTTCGTAAATTAAGTAAGTTCAGATGGCATTTTCGAACACCAACGTTACTAGACACAAAAGTTTGCATAGTTCCCGAAGTTTTGGATAAATTATAGTTTAGATAGCAGGTAGGGATGACGCAATTGCACAAACAAATTTCCAAAAAGTTATTAAACCGTTTTATCGGTATTAATAAGTAATGTCACTTGCTTATACAATTCAAATCTTGAGTTTAAAAGACGATGTTTTTTTGAGTGATATTTTGTATTTTTTTTTATAAGTTAAACAATACGTAAAGACCAATGTCAATTTTAACTCGCGAATTAATGTTAAAAGTTTAGAAGATTAAGAATTTTATCAAGATAATCGTCTTTCATGATCAAGGAGTTTTATACTAGAAACACTGATATTCCACCAGAATGAACATGACAAAAGTGTACTGGGCAGATTTTCAGTTAAGATATATGAGGTTGTTTGGTTCATTGATATGTCTAAGAAGTTTCTCGTCGCCGATAAAAAAGATGCAAAGAGTAGTTCAAATTAAATGACTTGAGGCTTTGAACATTTGACGCAAGTTACAATCAAGGACCATAAGCATTTTACTATTGACAACTGTTCCCTCAAATGCATGTGTTTTGAGGAGATTAATGTAGAGTTTATATGAAATGCAGGATTTTTCTTGGAAAAGTTACGTTATTTTTAAGCCTTTACTGGCTAAGCTGGGTTCTATCGCCAGTTTGGTTTGAGATCATTTCGTGAATGTTGTCATATAACAATGACGGAAGAGAAAGGATTTAAAAAGTAACAAACTGTTTTATCAGAAAATCGATTCCACATACAGAGTTAATGATCAGGTTTTACAACAATGTTAAATTGAAATAACCGAAAAATTTCGTCCAAATTATTCTCCACATCCTTCAATAGTTGCGATAAGAAAAAAGGTCCGATCAAAAAAAGCGTCAAAACTTTAATTCTGTAATACAAATCTATAGAAAAGTGGGTCCCCAACTTCGATTCGGGCAGATTTACTTCCGGCTTCAATTTTTACTAGAAATTTTGAAAAATCATGTTGAGTGAGACCTCTGTGTGATTTCTATTATGGCTAGCTGATCCAGGGTAAGAAAAATAAATTATGGGCGGTAATTTTAAATTGAAAATATCTCTAAAACAATGCCATTGGTTATGAAGTCGCTACTGGAAATTGAATCATTAGCAGAAAGAACTGAATAGCTTATTGTGCAAGTAAAACGAAAATTGTGTTATCATTTTATATTTTCATTGTATTTTTATTTTCATTTTAACTGTAATAAATTCGAAATATCACTATATCTTATTTTGTGCTTTCTTTGATCGCAAATTATGAGCTAAAGATGGAAATTATTTTCGGAATTTGTTTCGTGTTACGTATATAATTTTTAAAACGACAGTGGACGTTTTAAAACAATTCATTTACACAAACAGGGACGTTATATTGCATAACAGTCGTTGCAAATTTATAAATATCCTTCCTTTTTGTGACAACTTTTGAAAGAAATACTAATGGAGTATTTTATATAATTAACACTTTACAACGAGTGAAGCTCAGTCCATTTGATGTAACTTATCAGCAAATAATTCTGATTATTCCATATCTCATTATGCAATGTGACGTTACTAGTTGTGTAATACGGTCATTTCAAAACTTCGACATCTTAAGAAATACGAAGTCTACTGTCATGTTCTCTTCAATGAAAATGTTCTCTTCAATAAAAAATGTCAATTTAAATAAGCAAAAGTCTCGTTTTACTAGAACTTTGAAATACAACTATGATCAAAATGACATTGTCATGAGTGTAGTGAGCCACAAATACGATTTCTTTTAATCTCTTTACGCAAATCTCAGTCTGTTAAACACTCTATAACCTAATTGAATTTTGGTCGTATGTTTCCACTTGTTTGATATAATTTTGTTTTACTCTGTTTTCTAACATAATATTTTAATGCTATACTAACCTTTGAGAAAGTCTTAATCTGTTGCCAAACATTTAAACTTTAGACTTTCGCTTCATTGGAATCTGCAAATGAAAACCAGTAACTGTAGCAATACTACCGTAGAGTCAGCATGCTACTTTCGAAATAAGTGGCTTCATAGAGTGGCTACTAACAGGGAGCGCTTAGCTTCGAGTTGTTGTCTTTAGCATCGGTTGACTCTAAATCCACGCTTTATAAAACGATATTTTTTTGATTTGTTTGAATATGTAAAGTTGCCATAGTTGACACAAATGCACACATAAACAATTTCACCGTCAGCTACTTTGCATCGTAAAATATAATTCTTAGTTTAAATAGAAAGTTTGAAAGTAGTGTACAGTACTCCTTCTTCCATCTAACAATAAGCGTTACTAGCTCTACTAAATGCTTCCATTATTGCGCCTGATATTTTCAAAAAAAAATCTCAACTAAAAAGTAGCACAAAAAATAAACCTCCACCCTCTATCCTCCCCTTTCAGTAAAATGAAAAAATTACGGGTCAATCCCGCGATGAAATCAACAAATGCTAATTAAGATTTATTTTTTGTTACAAGCATTTACTCGTATACAATTTACGACTAAATGATCACTTGATTAATATTGAAATTTCAGACAAAATTAACGTCATGTTTAAACTATCACCACAGAATAATGATTATACAGAAGGGTCACTCAGGTGTACAACGTGTCCTCGTGTCGGCCATTATTCCAGCCAGATGATTAGGATTTCTCACTGGTTTCCAACCGTTAAAATTAAAAGACGTCAATACTTAATAATGAATTCAAGAATATTTTGACTTAAGAAATGACTTCGGATCATTTTGAAGGTTGGGAAACAGTCAAAACCCCTAATCATCTGGCTGGAATAATGGCGGCCACCATGCGCGGCACGACATGCGCGAGGACAAAAACGTCAAAGGTTCCGACACGAGTGACTCTTCTGTATATTCTTATTCTGTGCTATCATGTTTAAATTATTATGAAGCATGTGTCGCGCGTAATTTAGTATGCGCGAGAAATTTTACGTGAAAGTTTGTTATAGACTAGCCTCTTTTTGGACATTCTCCGTTCCAATACTCCCAGAGTTTAAAGGTAGTAAAAAAACCGGGGGAGCTAAATAGAGAAAATACGTCCAGGTGGCTAAATACGGTAACTAAAACCTGTATGATGTTGCTCTGATCGTGAAAACACCGTACTCTGAGTTTACATAATCTAAAATTGGTGACTTTCAAAACAACAGATAAAAACATTAAAAAAGTTTTTCCTATTTTTTTTTGGCAATAAATTTGCTATGCATTAAATCTTTATGATCCATCTTGTCAGAGGGGTGCTAAAGCTCACCCCACCACCCCCGGTCAGTTGACATCCCTACACTCATTTGGTTCACCCTTGATGTCAAGTTCAACTTTGCTAAATTTGTTAAACATATAATGCTCATATTTTAGACACATTTTTCATTAACATGTTTACCATAGAAATCAAATATATTTTAAACTCAATAATTCATTCATATGTAACATTAAAAAATCAACTGCTGTATTCTGACAATTACTGCTGTCCTTCAAATTGAGTGCAAAGAAGTCAGTTATACTAAATGGATCAACTATGACGGTATTTGCCACTCTCAATCAAATTAACTGCAAATTTACTAGCAAATCAAAATATGAAACAATGTCCATCCATATTTAGATGTAAAACTGTAAATTACACATTTTATTGTCAAGTATATAACCAATAGATATTTTGCAAAATTCTCATTGTTTGATTTTAAAAATCACAGTTGAGAGCAGAACATGAGAGTATATCAGAGCAAAATGTTTAGCAAAGCCTCAGCAACATGTCTTAAAAATAAAGTCTAATTCTTCACTAAAAATTTCACTCTAGCTCAGAGAGAAAACAAAGAAAATCTCAATGGGAATTTAAAGGGAAATATAGTTCCACCTCAAACTAAATTATCATCATATTGCAATAAGTTTTGATAGTTAAAATGCACTGGACTTCAATATCATTTAAAAAAAATGCCATGAAGCACAACATTAGTCATGTTACCTTACCAAAACGACTTATGTATTGTGTAAGGGCAAATAAGGCTATTTCAGTTGAAATTGGGATAATTAAATGGTTTCGTATGTCTGAGAAGTAAAAACCATAACAGCAAATGTTTTCGTATAAAATTATCCTAAGACCCATAAAATATCACATTCTTTATAAGATTTTGATTACCGACAATGTTTGAACACAGAAATAAGAACAGAAGTTAAGTCTAAATGTCCAAATGTGACGCAAGATTTAGAACTAATATGGCCTTAAATATGTTTTGTTTGTAGCATGAGAAATACAACATCTTTAGTAAAAGATTCGTCAGGTTAGTAGCAGTTTTCACCTTGATTTGTCAAAACTCACTCTAGCATCTCACTTATGAAAGTATCCCAACTGCGTGCAATTAAAGTTAGGATAAACACACCGGACCTACACGAGGCTAATTGAGAACAAAGACATTTACTTGTTTAACGGATTTTTATTTTTACTTACTTTCTATTCCCCAAGAAAAAACATGTCATATGTTTAATATAACAGGGATAAATAAATGAAAGACAAGAAGTCTATCCTGACAATAGGATCCACTGAAAATGTTCAACTTTCCAACTGTAAATTTTTTCAATTCCTCATTTTATAAAAATTAAGCGTAAGCAAAATTTTAGAATACTTAAAGCCATTGAACTGTAATAACAACTGGAGCGAGAAGTCAGGGGGGGATTGAAACCAGATGACGGCTGCCATACAGTCGCTCCAGTCCTTTTGTAAATAGAAATTTTATATTTATAAAATTTTAAAAGTAAACTTTGCGTTACTTTTTCTAAATACTATTTAATTTGAAGAATACTGGTCAAGACTAAGCCCTAATCTTTCGCGCGGTTTCTACGTCAAAACGCCACAAAAGATAATTTTTTAAATGCAAAAGCACAAACCCAGTGATCAGGGGCATAACTAGACTTGAAGTAATGGGGGGGTGTGGAGAAAATTTGCCGTGCAAAAGGGCGTTGCCCACAAAAACAAGGAAATGCATTACAATTTCTTGAGTAAACACTATTTCTAAGGACAACGTTTCAGTGACAGTTTTTTTGCAGTGGTAAACATTCTCAGCCAATATGTTTAATTCAGCTACGCAAGTTTCTCATGACAGGTAAGATTTCTCTCTCTCTCTTCTTGTTCGTTAACAGATTCTTCTTCATCAACCTAAAAAACACCAAAATATAATTACTTTAGAAATAACATTTTAAAAAATTAATTTAATTATTTTAATGTCATACTCAGATATGACAAACCACATCCGTATTTTCCTCTTCCTCTGAATCAACTTCATTTATCTTGTTATCTATTTCAAATATTTCCTGGCATACATTGTGTATTTTTAATGCCACTTCAAGGTTTTCCTTCAAGGTAGCATTTTTAAACAGTATTTAACAGTATTTAACAGTATCACAAAGACTATCAAAGAATGTGCCATGGAAACAGCTGGAAGAGATGAAAGACGACAAGAGGAAAAGCTCAAGCCTGAAACAAAACAACTGTTGAAAGAGAGAAGAGAAATGGCAAAGAGAGATCTGAATGACCAGGAGAGAAGAGAGTACAATAAACTTTGTAAGACCATCAGGAAGAGAATGAGAGAAGACCTCAGAGAGCACAACACCATGCGAGTGAAGGAAGCAATTGAGAGTGGGAAAGGATTGAAGAGAGCTAAAGAGAAAGAAGGCTGCAAGATTCTTATACCAACTTTAGAGGAACAAGATGGAACCGTCATCAATAACAGGGAGAGAATTCTGGAGAGGTGCGCAGAATTTTATGAAAACTTATACCAAGATGCAGCCCAGAACATCAGAAAAGAAGAGACAAAGGATTTACCACCGACCCTTGACAGTGAAATTGAGCACGCAATGAAAAGTATGAAGAACAACAAAGCACCAGGAGAAGATCAGGTTGTGATTGAAATGCTAAAAGCGGGAGGCGAAGTGGTCAGATCGAAGCTGAGGACGCTTTTCAATAGAGTGATGACTGAAGAAATAGTGCCAAATGGGTGGAAAAATGCCATCATCACACTCATATTTAAGAAGGGAAATAAGAAAGATCTCGCAAACTACAGACCAATCAGCTTACTCTCCCAAGTCTACAAACTCTTCATGAAGATCTTGAAAAAATAGATTAAACAACACCCTTAGTGACCACCAACCACCAGAACAAGCAGCCTACAGAAGAGGTTCTTCCACCATCGACCATCTGCAGTCAGTTGTGCAAATACTCGAGAAAACCAATGAGTATAAAATACCCATCCACATGGCATTTGTAGACTATGAAAAAGCCTTTGACTCCATCCAGCATAAGGCTGTCTTTGAGGCGTTAAAACAGCACAGCGTACAGGAAAAGTACATCAACATCCTAAAAGAAACATATAATGGAAGCACAGCTCAGATTCGAACTGAATCAACTAGCCGAAAAATCAAGATCATGAAGGGAGTGAGGCAAGGAGACACCTTGTCACCAGTGATGTTTACAGCAGCGCTGGAAGAAATATTCAGTAGAATGGAAGTTGAAGTGGGAATTAACATCAATGGAGAGAGGATGAACAACCTGAGATTTGCAGATGATATCATCTTATTTGCTGAAAAGGAAGAACACCTCAGCAAATTTTGAACGATCTGAACGAAGAAGGGAGGAAAGATGGAATGAAAATGAACAAAAAGAAGACAAAGATCATGTGCAATAGATCTTTAATTATTAATATTAAATAATTAATTTTATTTTAGAGTTTTATCAGCTTTTTGGCCATTCTTGCCATTACTGGAGTTGTAATTATTTGTGCACGGAAACGAGATTCTTCAACTGTGACTGATAAGAAGGCATACTGGGTGCTTCCAAGTGCTGTCAAGGCTGTGCCATACCCTAAAGTACAGAATATCAATTTTAGTAAATTTAATAAGAAGTGAAGCGACGTGAGAGCAGCTTTCACCTATTCCTGCCATACAATCGCAGTGCGCTGTTAATACTTTGCCGTTCTTTTCGCAAACAACCCAAGGAGTAAGTTGCTTCTCCGACATTCTTTGAGAGTGATTAACCTGGTGTAGTGAAAAAAGAAACAAGGAGTTCAGTCTCATTAGAGCACAAGTGCAGCCAATGTGCAATGTTTTTAGTGACAACTGAGAAGCCTGTCTTACCTTAGCAATAAGTGTTTTATAATTTAGGATATTTCATTTATATTTTTTTTATTGCATGCCAGATTTTATAAGTTCCCATGCAGAGTTTTATGTGTGCCAAAATTATAATTAAAAATTAGGGTGTATATACTTAACACTTCCTAAGTATTTTCTCTCTTAATTAATTCATGTTGTAGTAGTACGTAAGTCACGAAATGTAAACATATAAATAGACTCAAATTTGTAATAGTCGGAGAGATTGTGTAGATTGTTCATTGCTAATAAACTCCATAAAACAAACCGAATCAGAGTGCAGATCAATTTTCTGGACGAACTCAGTGAATTCTGCGACAATAAGCAAGCAATGATCGTCATATTTTTTCACCTACACTTCACGCACCCATCCATTAACAAAATTTTGATAACTATCAAGACCCTTAAAGCTTTTTAACTGCTTTTTCGTGTACGGACTGACCGAAAACAATAAATACATGCCAACATCAATGTAGCTGACAGCAGGCCACAGATCGATATCGTCGAGCCATTGATTGTTTGGTATTTCGTAACGCGCTTTACTAACCTTACACTGAATATTTTCTATATATCCAGGGAAAAAACCTTTTTTTAACCTAGAAAGCGCTGAATTTATGTTACTAGCCATATTAACATATAAAGCGTGCACATGTGCTTGTCCTCCAGATGCTCCCCCAGCAACAGTTGCTAAAGAGTGCGTGACGTCACTGCAAAGGGTCTATAACGGAAAAAGAAATAGAAGCAAGGGAAATAGATCAATCAGTAATAAAGGGAAAAGTAATAGAAGAAAGCGGACACAGAGCATGGTTAATGAAGATTTGATAAATGACTGGGCTCTTTCAAGCGAAGACTGTTCTATTGCTGTCGACGTTGCTCATCGTGAAAAAACCAAAAGGAAATGCAGGTGTGTTGAAGATGCCGGAAAGTAAGACAGAGAATAAAGTTTTGAATGTTTCAAGTTAAAAAAAATTGAAATTTAATGAACTCAAAAACAAAAATTTTAAAACAGTTAGGTAGTTGTGTACATTTTTGTTTCACTATGTGAGCAACAAGAGGTAAAAATACATGCATTATAAGAAATTGTATTTAGCTGCAATAAAATTATGTTTCAATGTGATCTGATAATTTTGTTTTTCCATTCTTTGTTGTGCTAGAGAAATTAGTTGTATTTGTTACTTTGCTCTCAGATAATTGACAAATGCCATTGTACATTGTACATTGCACAAGATGTTCTAAAATAATAATCTATATTAACTAGTTATAAGTTAGTGCATAATATATTGAAAGAACAAAAAGTGAAAATAGCTAAGATGTTGCGCGTATTTTAGTTCTTCCTTATCATATATCCATTCTACACCGCTTCCTTTAGTAGTAATTTAACACCTTTTTGTAAATATAATATCAAGTGTGTGAGTGCATGGTTAAAAGTTAAAAGAACTATTAATAAAGTTAAAAAGGATGTTTAAGAAAAAGCACAAAATAGAAGGCTCATAGAATTATTATCAAAGAGGGTGGGTAAATCGTATATTTGCTATTGTGATCCCTGTGGTAACTCTTCTGACACCCCTAGCTACAAAAGGGATTGATATGCCATGCTTTCACAGTTTATATTCATACTGAAAATCAAAATCAAGTGCGATTTTACCATTTTATTCTACGTGAGATTCCGCTCTCTACGTGGGATTTCCGCTCTCAATTAGGACACTTGCATTATCATCTGACAGCCGTGCCGCCTCAGCCAAACTCACAACCTGACAGTGTCTTCGGCTCAGATTGGACCGGCAGAAGAGCGATCTTAATTTAGAAAGTGTGCTTGATGTCCAGCTCCGCTTCACCGAATAAGTAAAAAAACCATAAGAGTAGTGATATTTTACTGATGAATTTTCCTTCCACTTTTCTACACCTCTAATGTTTTTTCACAGAGTCAGACTAGAGTCAATCTCAACATGGATTTCTCTTTTGAAACTGGAAAGACGTTTTTACTCAAAAAAATTATCCAAAAACCTGTGTTTGACTATATTTCCAGTATATAGCCTCGTTTTCGTTCAAAAATATAGTCTTTAGTTCATTGTGATGCTTAAAAAATTAAACTGAAAACAAACTTGAAAGGCTTGTTATAGACTTACAAATTTTGTTTTACTATGGATTCACCATATCCTAATAAAAGATAAAGTACTTACCCGCTATAATATTATTCGTTTTCAAAATGGCGGCCATGCTTAAAAAGAGTTGGAATACATGAATAAATTATGAGTAATTTGAAGTGTATTATACACTACAAACATCTTGATACTACAAATGAAATAATTACTGGAGTGAATGAAGATACTTATAAAAAATTAAAAGAAAGTAAAGGTGCTCGGCTTTCTTTGGGTGGTGAATATATTCACAAAGAACAAATTGAGAATTTGCCAAGTTCATTTAATGCTGAAACGCAAGGTTTCCATCGCCAGTGTTATCAGAAGTTTACGACTGCTGTTTCCGTTTTAAAACGAAAAAGTTTCGATGCCCCAGATAAGAGGCAACGGCGGTCTGGTCAACTTCCAGCTACTTTAATTCCAGACATTTGCATGAAATGCAAGTCTTCGAAGCCAATAACTGTCAAGGGTAAGAAGTATTTTCCAAAGAATATCCTAACGATTTCTGCATGCGATTCTATAAAACGCTGCTAAACTCCACAACGATGAGGACTTACTTGTACTTGTTGCCGACGACGACCTCATTGCCAGGGAGTTCAAAATGCACGAGAAGTGTTACAGAGATTACACACGCATATGTACGAAACAGAACACTAATGTTGAAAGTAATTGTACATCGACCAATGATGAAAACGACGACAGCAAAAACGATTTGAATACCTATGCCAGTTTGTGCAAAATCGCATTATTGACGGAGAGCAATCACTATCGATTAAACTTCTAACTGAGGTATATGGGCTCGATGAAGAAAACTGTAGAATGAGGGGCAAAGTAAAGCAAATGCTTATGAAACATTTTGAAGGTGAACTTCTGTTTGTTACCATTGCTACTAACGAGGCTCAAGTTGTTCTTAGCAAGAATGTTCTAACCAATACAAAGAAGGTTAGTGTTTTGAAGCAGAATAAGGATTTTGTTTTGAAAGAAGCCGCGAAAGTTATCAAAGATGATATCGACTTGCTAATTCAGACTGCTCCAGAGTTACCATGGCCACCCACTGTAGAGTCGCTGCAGTAGGAAGACAGACAACCTCCAGAAAGCTTGCGAATGTTTCTTACAACTTTACTATATTCAACAGACCACAATCCTAGGGAGGAAGTCATCCGATACGTTGACTCGTTTGCTCAGGACATTCTTTACGCTGTGTCCAAAAGAAAGTTTCTTACCCGAAAGCACATATTACTTGGAAATTTATTGCACAGCATCACTGGCTTGAAATCATGTTTCACCAAATTGAAATCAAATCATGTTTCACCAAACATAAAGACAAAACAACAATTCATGATACAACTGACGCGATCTACATGATACCATGTAAAGACTGTTCAAAGCAATACATAGGACAAACATCTAAGAAAATTGAAACAAGACTCACAGAACACAAAAACGCCATAAAACGACGAGATCCGAACTCACTACCGGCAGAACATACCCACGGAAACAACCACACATTCGACTGGACAGAAACTAAAGTACTCGGACGTGCACAGACTAAACACGCACGCGAATTTAAAGAAGCTTGGCAAAAGATGGTATACAATTAAAATAAAACATTAAGAAGAGGAGAAGTCCGTTTAATGCATTTAGGATTTTTTGAATCATTAGTGGTCAAGTAGAGCGTGACTGTCAGTTGAAGAAATTGTTTTAAACTTTTTTGCTTGTTCTCTTTCAGGTGTTGAGAATGAAAATGACTTCAACTGGCTAGCACAACTTAGATAGTACATTGGGGTAAGAGATGACATAAGAATTTAATCTACGATAGCTTTGTAAGACACGACTTTAGCTGGTTAGAACAACTTCGATACTACATCGAGGTTAGAGACAACATAAAAGTGTGATCCTGCCATAGCAAAGTAAGACATGACTTTAACTGGCTAGCAAAACTGCGAGACTACATTGAGGTAAGAGATGACACAAAAAATGAGTAGATAATAGCATTATAAGGCATGTTCAGTGTTTGTGGACAGAAACGTCAATTTAGTGAAATTTCTAAGATTTTCCCCCTAAAAATGTTTCTCCTACTGAATGTTTTCTACTCTTCAATTGAACCAACCAAGACTTCACTCAAGTTGGTTAAAAAGTGTTGGCTAAATCTGGTCGTGGATTGGCCGATGAATTTAACATATACCACTGGCCGATTGCTAAATGATTTATCCGTAGCGTCCTCTTCACGGAATGATGTAGATATTTTTGATTTAAATTACCGAACGTTACCCCATGATCACATCTCACATCTCACATGTAGGAAGGCAATATGACCACTTGTATGATCAGTGCTCAGCTTCATTATGGTTACGAATATCTTGGTAACTCTGGACGTCTTGTCATCACGCCGCTGACCGACAGGTGTTACCGTACCCTCTTTGGAGCGTTGCAGATGCATCTGGGTGGGGCTCCGGAGGGTCTTGCGGGTAATGGTAAAACCGAAACCACGAAGAATCTGGCAAAGGCTGTCGCGAAACAATGCGTCGTGTTTAACTGTTCCGATGGCTTGGATTATATTGCATTGGGAAGGTTCTTTAAGGTGTGTTCTGCTCATTGATGACAGGAACCTTTAATTTGAGAAGGTTTCATGAAAGCATTATTCAGCGTTGATTGTACAAGTGCTTGTGGGCTCAAAAATCTTTCTTTTCTAAAGCATCGCTCTCTTGTAGAGCTCGAGGCCTGAATGCCTAGGTATCTCTTAATAAGGAGGATGCGCTCAAATTTTTTTTGTTTTTGCTACTGTACAGAAGCTAAAAATCAGTTTTTCAACCCCGCCTTCTCCACGGTATCCATCAATATACCCATGCATATTCTGTCTCCGACTTGTGACGCAACGTATTTTTTTAACTTTGTGTATCAGGATTTGTACAGACCTTGAATGTCCTTGAAAGTCCTTAAATTTATAAAGACGTGCTTAAGAAATCTTGAATTTTAATTTTTTTGAACAAATTTTTGTGAGCATTAGTTTCTTTTCCTGAAGTAGAGGTGAAATTTTAATCTTTGTGTTGAACCTTTGAAGCAACCAACCAACATGGCGGGCTTCGCGTTCCATGGACAGGCAATATTCGTTCACGATTTGTTAAACAAGTTTTAGTTATTATTTTCAGAAACGTGTTCGATAATTTCTAGCGTTCGTGATGTTTTGCATGAAATTCAAATTTAGATTTTCTAAAACTTCACTTGAAAGTCCTTGAAAATATCATAATTTCATTACTCTTACATTGTGCAAACCTTGGTAGAGTTGAAAGCCAGCGCAGATGATTTAAATTTACCTCTCTTCTACAAGGGATAAGGCTAAGAAAATGACTAAGAGTTGATCATAGCGGTGATGGTGGTGATGAAACTATCTAGCTCAACGCACGCTCGCCGAAGACGATGTGTGATGTTTGTGGTGACTCCACGGACTTTCTTATTTCAAAGCGCGCATGCGTGTCACTCTTGATGTTTGTGGGGGTGATTTTTGGTACCACGATTTTTTCAATTGAAAAATACTTGGAAATCAACGGTCTCAATGTCAATTGATTTTTAACCATCATAAATTGTCAAGGAGCGCTTGGGAAATCGAATGTTTTAACAACAGGGGCATAGCATCGTGGGGCTTGATGAAAATATTCAATAAATTTGTTCGCCTTGTTCCAGGGTTTAGCATCATGTGGAGCTTGGTCTTGTTTTGATGAATTCAACCGCATCGATCTTGAAGTTTTATCTATCGTTGCTCAACAGATACTCACAATTCAGATGGGTAAGATAACAGTCGAACATTTGTAGCTAGCTATCTGGCCGCTGAACAATTGTATGTATTTATTTTACAGCTATGTTTTAACTAGCTATAACCGTTATAGTATGTGTCGATTGTATCACATGAGCAAATTAATGTTCATACACATTTCATGTTGTTTGTAGGTATCGACTCTGGCAATGACACGCTGTTGTTCGAAGGAACTGAGATCAAGTTGGATCCATCTTGCGCTGTCTTTATCACTATGAATCCTGGTTATGTAACTTTTATGTTGGAAGATCTGAACTTCCTGATAACTTAAAGGTACGTGTCAAATAGTTTTTTGTGTGCAGTTCTGTCTAGTTTTGTTACCTCTTCTTCTATATTGGTACCTCTACTGCTACATTGTTACCTCTTCTTCTATATTGTTACCTATACTTCTGCATTGTTACCTCTTCCTATATATTTATATTTTCTTCTATTGTTACCTATACTTCTATATTGTTACCTATACTTCTATATTGTTACCTATACTATATATTACTTCTATATTGTTATATACTTCTATATTGTTATATACTTCTATATTGTTACCTATACTCTATATTGTTACCTATCCTTCTATATTGTTACCTATACTTCTATATTGTTACCTATACTTCTATATTGTTACCTATACTTCTATATTGTTATATTACTTCTATATTGTTATCTATATCTTATGTTACCTTCTTCTATTGTTTCTATATTTCTATATATTTCTATATTGTTACTATATTCTTTGTTACCTATATTTCTATATTGTTACCTATACTTCTATATTATTTACCTATCTTCTATATTGTTACCTATACTTCTATATTGTTACCTATCCTTCTATATTGTTACCTATACTTCTATATTGTTACCTATACTTCTATATTGTTACCTATGCTTCTATATTGTTACCTATCCTTCTATATTGTTACCTATCCTTCTATATTGTTACCTATACTTCTATATTGTTACTTATACTTCTATATTGTTACCTATATACTTCTATATTGTTACCTATGCTTCTATATTGTTACCTATCTATATATTATTTTTACCTATACTTCTATATTGTTACCCTATTACTTCTATATTGTTCTATATATTCCTATATTTATTTCCTTGTTACCTATACTTCTATATTATTACCTATGTTCTATGTTCCTATTATTCCTTCTATATTGTTATATTCATATTGTTACTATACTTCTATATTGTTACCTATACTTCTATATTGTTACCTATCCTTCTATATTATACTTCTATATTATTTACCTATACTTCTATATTGTTTACCTATATTCTATTGTTACCTATACTTCTATATTGTTACTTTCTATATTGTTCTATATTGTTTTATATATTCTATATATTATTTTTATTTATTTTTATATTCTATATTTCCTATTTTATTTATATTATTCCTATATTTCCTATATTCCTATTTTATTCTTCTATATTATTTACCTATATTTCTATATTTACCTATTCTTCTATTCCTTCTTCTATATTATTACCTATATTTCTATATTTTTACCTATATTTCTATATTGTTACCTATTCTTCTATTTATATTCTTCTATATTATTTATTCTTCTATATTATTCTTCCTATATTGTTACCTATTCTTCTATATTGTTACCTATATTTCTATATTGTTACCTATATACTTCTATATTGTTACCTATATACTTCTATATTGTTACCTATTCTTCTATATTGTTACCTATTCTTCTATATTGTTACCTATTTAGCGTTATATATAAGTCTTTCGTATGAGCTCTGAACGTGAGTTCAATGTACTAGAACGCTATTAAGTTTTGTGATTATTTTATTCACTAGCGAAGAAGTTATTTACAACAGTCGTGAGAGTTCTATCTGTTAGAATTTATTTACAGGCTTTTTATACATTTGGTTAAAGAAGGTGCAGTTATTACACAGTGGATAATGTACTTGAAATTTGAGTAGTTTTACGTAATTATAAAGTTAAGTGCGTAAGTTTAAGTAGCGCGTTTGAGTAAGTGTAAGATTGGCTATTTCCTCTATTGCTAATACATGAATCTAGATGAGTGATGTACGCACGTTATGTACGTCACTACAGGAGCCCCCGGCTAGTGTCAAAATTAATGAAATTAATGAGAAACGATGGAAATATAGCGTTGAGGTAAACTGACACAGCGACCAGAGCGGGTTTGTTTTATTTGTGGTGCTGTAGTTTGACAGTTCTCTCTTTCTTGGCAGCTTCTTCCGTATGGGTGTGTCCAGGGCACTGGGCGTAGGAGGAGCGAGATGTGCAGGCTTGAGACGATCTATGGATACGTTATCGGTGCGATTTCCGAGATCAACTTTAAAATGTTTGTCTGAGCGGGAGAGAATTTTGAATGGACCGTCGTACGGTGGCTGTAAAGGTTTTCGGACTGCATCGCGCCGGACAAACACGTGTGTTGTGGTGTGAAGATCGATCGGAATGTGATAAGGTCTTGTTGGGTGACGATCTGGAGGTGGTTATAAATCACGGAGAGTGCGTTTAAGACGATCAACGTAGGAGGTAGGATGGAGGTGTGAGGTACGAGAATTATGGTGGAAAATTCACCTGGTAAACAAAGAGGTGTGCCGTATACGCGTTCAGCAATACTGTGTCCAAGATCAGTTTTTAGAGCGGTGCGAATGCCCAGGAGGACAAGAGGTAGACGTTCACTCCAGTGGTTAGGATCATTGGTGGCTTTCAATGAAGCTTTGAGTTGACGATGAAAGCGTTCAACCAGACCATTAGCGATGGGGTGATAAGCGGTGGTGCGTATACGTGTTGACCCAAGAAAAGACGTGAGAGAAGAGAACAGTTGGCTTTCAAATTGTGCACCTCGATCGGTGGTGATAATTTTAGGAACACCAAAACGGGAGATCCAGTGGGTGACAAAAGCTGTGGCGACCGTGGTGGCGGTGATGTCAGAAATGGGAATGGCTTCAGGCCAACGAGTGAAACGGTCAATGCATGTAAGTAGATAAGTAAAACCATTTGATGGCGGCAGGGGACCAACTATGTCGAGATGAACATGGGAAAAACGGTCAGTAGGTATTGCAAAAGTGGAAAGTGGGGCACAGGTGTGCCGATGGATCTTGCTGCGTTGACAAGACAGACAAGTTCGGGTCATTTGTCGTACATCACGGTTCATGTTGGGCCAGAAATACCGATCGGTGATCAAACGTTGAGTGGCTTTTATTCCTGGATGAGAAAGGTTGTGAAGGGCATTAAATATGGTTTGTCGGAACGGCGAAGGAATGAAAGGGCGTGGCCTGCCAGTGGAAACTTCGCAAATGATAGTCTTGTCGGAAGCGGGTATCGAACAAATTTCGAACACCAACGAAGAAGAAGTTTTGCTTCGATACTGTATAAGCTCAGCATCGTCTTGTTGAGCCAGGGCGATATCTTCTATGTTGATCTGGTCAGAAGAAATGACAGAGGAAACGCGGGAAAGGGCATCGGCCACCGGATTCTGCTCACCTTGGACATGACGGAGGTCTGTGGTAAATTGGGAGATGAAATCGAGGTGACGAATTTCTCTGGGAGAGTGGCGTTTGGTATTGTTATGCAAGGCATAGCACAGAGGTTTGTGGTCAGTGAGAACATAAAAAGTTCGTCCTTCAAGGTGGTGACAAAAATGGCGTATGGCAAGATAGATGGCAAGAAGCTCTCGACCAAAAGCACTGTAGCGAGTCTCTGCTGGTTGTAAGCGTTTAGAAAAGAAACCGAGTGGTTGCCACATGTTGTTCACTTTTTGTTGTAGAACAGCTCCTACAGCGACGTCTGAAGCATCGGTCATAAGGCAAAGTGCGGCGTTGGGTTGTGGATGAGCCAAGAGTGCCGTATCTGCCAATGCTGTTTTGATTTTCTTGAATGCTGATGTAGCAGAATCAGACCAGTCAAGCTTGGAAGGTTGAGATTTCTTATGAGAATCCGATGTGCCCAGCATATCGGTGAGAGGCTGAACAATACCAGAGCAGTGCGGAATAAAACGTCGGTAGAAATTTACGAGACCTAGAAATTCGCGGAGCTTGCGGAGAGAATCCGGTTGAGGATAATTGCGGATAGCTTCGACTTTTGAGGGAAGAGGTTGGATGCCGTTAGCATTGACCATGTGACCAAGAAAGTCAAGAGATGTTGCTCCAAAACAGATTTTGAGGATTGATGATAACACCATACTGACGAAGACGAGTAAAGAGAAGGCGGAGGTGTTTTCGTGTTCGGAGGTGTTAGAGCTAGCAATTAGTATGTCATCAATGTAAACAAATACAAAGTCAAGGCCACGAGTGACTTCGTCCATGAAACGTTGAAATGTTTGAGCTGCATTACGGAGACCAAAAGGCATATGGGTAAATTCGAAAAGACCAAATGGTGTCGTGACAGCTGTTTTGCAGATGTCTTCTTGTGCGACCGGAATTTGATGGTAAGCACGGACTAAATCAATCTTAGAAAAAAGAGTCATACCGTGGAGATTGGCAGAGAAATCCTGAAGATGTGGAACGGGATACTGATCGGGTACAGTCATTCGGTTAAGCGCACGGTAGTCACCACAGGGTCGCCAGTCACCGGGTTGTGGCTTGGTAACCATGTGGAGAGGAGAGGCATACTGACTGCTGGAAGGACGAATGATTCCAAGATCAAGCATTTGTCGGAATTCTTTTTTCGCAATGTATAAACGATCAGGTGGGAGACGGCGTGGACGTGCAGAGCATGGGGGACCTTTGGTGGTGGGTTGAGTGATCTCTGGGAAGTCTTGTAATACTGATGCAAAAGGTGTGGAGGATTGTGTAGCATGAACAAGAGAAAGAGAAGGCATTGATGTGGCGATTCCATTGACTCGAATGTGTGTTTCTGCATCAATGAGACTTCCTGAGCGAAGGTCGACGAGGAGGTTGAAATGGCGTAAAAAATCAGCTCCAATGATGGCCTGGCGGACGTCAGCAATGGTGAAGATCCATTGAAAATGGCGTCGGCGGAGTCCAAAGTTGAGGGTGATTGACCTCTTGCCGTAGGTAGCAATTGTAGAGGAATTGGCTGCCTGGAGGTCATAAGCTTGGCGTTGTCGTCGATCTGCGGAAAGTGGTGGGATGACGCTAACTTCGGCACCTGTATCGATGAGAAATCGTCGTTTGGTGGTCTGATCGGTAATGAAGAATAAGCGGCTTTGTGTTGAAGCGCCAGACGATGTTGCCGCGTCTATTGTCTGGCGTTGTAGTTTGACGGTAGCGATGTGTGGAAAGTACAAGGTTGAACACATTTGCGGGCAGTGGCGCCGAATTTGGCGTGATACCAGCAATAACCATTATTAGATGATCTGTGAGTGGGATCAGTCGGTTGCGGATTACGAGGGCGAGGTGGACGGTTATTGACATCTGACGATGAAGGGAAACGAAGATTCAGAGCCTGTACTGACGCAGCAAGATCAGAAACTGTCTTGCGAAGTTGATGAAGCTCCCAGATTTGGCAGATGTGTCAACAATAGGTTCTGTTGCCACGGTCGAAAGGGTGATGTGGGTTGTTGAATGTTGTTGACCTCTCTAATTTTATCGGCCAACTTGGCAAGGTTGTTGAGGTCAAGAGTGTCCTGTGTAGGTGCCAGAATAGCCTGAACATTGGTAGGGAGACGTTGTATAAATAATTGTTTCATGATGGAGGGGGGCAATGTCTGGGTACCAAGTAGTTGTTCCATCTTGCGAAGGAGTTGGGAAGGCTTCCGATCTCCTAGTTCTTCGCCTGTGAGCAGTTGGTGAAGTCGCTGTTGCTCAGATGTTGAGGTACGGTGGATTAACTCGCGTCGCAGGATGTCATATGGATCACGAGCTGGGGGATGAAGGATGATATCGCGAACCTCCTGAGCAATTTCGGGTTGAAGGGAACCAACAACGTAAGCGTATTTCGTTTTTTGTGAGGTGATATTGCGCGTCGTAAATTGAGCGTCAATTTGAGAAAACCAAAGTTCTTGATCGTTAGGCCAGTATGGTGGAAGTTTGATGCTGATCATAGAAGCGGTTGGTGTGACAGATGAAGAATCTGTCGTTGAAGAAGTGTTGAGTTCATCAGTTGTAGCCATTTCGCCAGTAAAGAATATCTTTCGGGGTCACCAATTTAGCGTTATATATAAGTCTTTCGTATGAGCTCTGAACGTGAGTTCAATGTACTAGAACGCTATTAAATTATGTGATTATTTTTATTCACTAGCGAAGAAGTTATTTACAACAGTCGTGAGAGTTCTATATGTTAGAATTTATTTACAGGCTTTTTATACATTTGGTTAAAGAAGGTGCAGTTATTACACAGCGGATAATGTACTTGAAACTTGAGTAGTTTTACGTAATTATAAAGTTAAGTGCGTAAGTTTAAGTAGCGCGTTTGAGTAAGTGTAGGATTGGCTATTTCCTCTATTGCTAATACACGAATCTAGATGAGTGATGTACGCACGTTATGTACGTCACTACACCTATACTTCTATATTGTTACCTATTCTTCTATATTGTTACCTATTCTTCTATATTGTTACCTATATTTCTATATTGTTACCTATATTTCTATATTGTTACCTATATTACCTATCCCTTCTATATTGTTATATTTCTATATTGTTCTATATTCTTCTATATTACTACCTATTGTTACCTATACTTCTATATTGTTACCTATATTTCTATATACCTTCTATATTGTTACCTTCTATATTGTTACCTACTTCTATATTGTTACCTATACTTCTATATTGTTACCCTATACTTCTATATTGTTACCTATACTTCTATTGTTACCTATATACTTCTATATTGTTACCTATACTTCTATATTGTTACCTATATTTCTATATTGTTACCTATACTTCTATATTGATATTACCTATACTTCTATATTGTTACCTATATTTCTATATTTATATACCTATACTTCTATATTGTTACCTATACTTCTATATTGTTACCTATACTTCTATATTGTTACCTATTCTTCTATATTGTTATTCTTCTATATTTATTCTTTCTATATTGTTACCTATATTTCTATTCCTATATTCTTTATATTGTTACCTATTCTTCTATATTTTACCTATTTCTATATTGTTACCTATTCTTCTATATTGTTTATTCTTCTATTATTTCTATATGTTACCTATTCTTCTATAATGTTACCTATACTTCTATATTGTTACCTATATTTCTATATTGTTACCTATATTTCTATATTGTTACCTATTCTTCTATATTGTTACCTATCCTTCTATATTGTTACCTATACTTCTATATTGTTACCTATACTTCTATATTGTTACCTATCCTTCTATATTGTTACCAATATTTCTATATTGTTACCTATATACCTCTATATTGTTACCTATACTTCTATATTGTTACCTATACTTCTATATTGTTACCTATATACTTCTATATTGTTACCTATACTTCTATATTGTTACCTATACTTCTACATTGTTACCTATACTTCTATATTGTTACCTATACTTCTATATTGTTACCTATATTTCTATATTGTCATGCAAGTTTCGTTTGAGGTTTAGGTATATGTGCATCTATTAAACCACACTGTTGAAAACGGCCCTTCAAGACAGCAGCTATAGAGTGCAAACTTCAAATATAATTTTTATATCAACTAGCTACAATAACTTACCTATAGCATAAACTTTACCATCAGCACCACACACACCAAATCCATTTCGGCTTGAGAGCATGGGTTCAGATTGCACCCAAACGTCATTGTATGGATCGTACCTTTCAACTGTATCAAACCGTGACGAGTCATCGCTACCACCGCAAATATACAGATAAGGTCCTACTGAACCCATACTTGCTCCCCAGCGACAGATACTCATGGAGCCTACAGTAAGGACAAATACGATTAAAACGTCATAAAAAGGGAACTTTTTGCCTTACAGAAGTTAGGGATTTGGCCTTTGAGGCAGTGCAATTGTTGTGTAAAACGCATTCCCAACTACAGCTTACAACTCCACGTACATTCACAGCCGTTCACATCGTTATTTATGCGTACATATGCACTACACCATGAATAGCGCAATAAACCAACTAGTATACGTAGTAAAACTTGTTAAAAACAACTAATATTTCAAGCAAATTTACTGTGAAAGCTAGAAAAAAAGTATGATTACAGGTTGCCACGAAATTCACGAATGCTTACAAATTGGTGTCCATTTTCCTTCTTTAGGATCAAATTTTTCACTTCTCTTTTACTCATTCCTCCAACAGAATGCAAGACTTGATGATCTGACGTTGGTCGACGTTGTTTTGAAACAGGCGTCTTGTTCATTACGTTGCGTAGGCCAGTCAATAGATAACCTTAACGGGTAAATGTATAATACACGGATGGAGTAAGGTATGCATGTGTAAATGTAGATACACAGGAGGAGTAAGGTGTGCGTAGGTCGATCAAAGCTGACCGTGCTATCATGAGCTCGAGTGAAGCTTCTTATATCGTTTTTTAAAGCATGAGCTGTTTTTCCAATGGCCTGAGATTTGTATATTTCATTTCAAACTGAATTGAACTGCTTTTTACGAATGACATGGAAAAGTCTCAAGAGAGCCCATGAGAAAACTATTGTTATGAAATTCATATCCATCAATGAATTGTTATTTTGTAAAAGCACTACTGTAAATTCTTTACATTATGATAGATGATAAAGAATTATTTGAAGTGAATTTGCTACGTATGACTTTCATCGAAATATATGCAGTTACTGCATGATTTTGTCTTATGGACAAGTCGATCATTTGCCAATAACACTGGAAGAGATTTATTAACATTTCCTGTTACCAGCTATTTCCATGACTTTTATTTTATGTCGATAGGAAAAATTGGCACATTCCGAGATGGAGGAATTACTAACCAGGAATAAACAACTGGAGGTAAAAAGATATGTCCGATCACAAAGACTACGTAATCGTCCGCCAGAGGGACCGCAGTGACGTGCACATCACACGCTGCATGCGTGGAGCCGACTGTTGGTCTGATCACCGCCTGCTACGGAGCAAGATGAACATCCAGCTCGCCAGAAAGAACAAATCAGCAAGAGAGAAGCCACTGAGGAAGTTGAATGTAGCTCGCATTCCACCCAACAAAGAAGAGCTGCAAGAGAAGCTAGAGGTAGCCCTGGGAAACATTAACATCACGGGCGAGGTATAGAGGAAGACTGGAGCATTTTCAAAGAAACCGTCTACAACTCTGCAGCGAGTGTCCTTGGATACGTTGAGCGAAAACATCGAGACTGGTTTGACGAGAATGACGCTGAGATCAACAGGCTTATTGACAGGCTCCATAAGGCTCACAGCGACCTTATAGGTGACAAAGATTGCGAGAAGAAGAAGCAAGACTACCAGCAAGTGAGGCAGCATGTGCAACACAAGCTGCGGGAAAAGAAGAACGCCCGGTGGGAAAAGAAAGCCGAAGAAATCCAAGTGGCAGCTGATGCTCACGACTCAAAAAAGCTCTACGATGGGTTTCGCGCGGTGTACAGTCCAAAATCGTCAGGCTCTACCCCCATCAGCTCTGTAGACCGAGCGAAACTGCTAACAGACAAAGCTGACATACTTTCACGCTGGGCTGAACACTTTAACAAGCTGCTGAATAAAGAGTCACAGATGAACGAAGAAGCCATTGAGTCCCTCCCCCAGCTGCCAATCAAAGTGGAAAATTGCCGACCCACCCACCAGAGACGAGGTTGCGAAAGCCCTCAAGCAGACAGTGTCTGGAAAGGCTCCTGGGGCTGATGGCATTCCAGCTGACGTCTACAAGAACGGTGGCCAGGCACTCCTGGACAAACTGACATCCCTGTTCCAGGAAGTTTGGAAAGTCGTCAAGGTCCCCCTGGACTTCAAAGATGCTGCCGTTGTGCACATCTATAAGAGGAAAGGCGATAATACCTTATGTGACAACCATCGAGGCATATCCCTCCTCTTCATCGCAGGCAAGGTTTTGGCCCGAGTAGTCTTAAACAGGCTAATCACAAATGTTGCCGAGGCCATCGTCCCTGAATCTCAGTGTGGTTTCCCGACAGGCAGGGGAACTCCTGACATGGTTTTTGCTATTCGCCAGTTACAGGAAAAGTGCCGTGAGCAAAACAAGGAACTCCACATGGTCTTCGTAGACCTAAGGCATTCGATACCGTTAATCGGGAAGGCCTTTGGAAGAAACTGAGAAAATTCGGGTGTCCAAAGAAGCTAGTCTCTTGTAGCCTCCTTTCACGATGGTATGCAGGCAAGAGTCCAGAAAAGTGGGGAGACATCGGACCCGTTTCCTGTGAAGAACGGTGTGAAGCAAGGTTGTGTCCTTGCCCCCTCTCTTCTCCATCCTGCTCGCAGCGATGCTGCTCGACGCCTTCCGTGACTTCGACAATTCAGTTCCGCACTGATGGAAAGCTCTTCAACCTCAGAAGACTTCAGGCCAAGACCAAAGTCTACGAGGCACTCCTGCGTGAATTCTCTTCGCAGACGACTGTGCACTAGCCGTCCACTCCCATGAAGACATCCAGTGCATAACAGACCGCTTCGCAACTGCATGTGATCACTTTGGGCTGACCATCAGCCTGCGCAAGACTGAGACCCTGGTCCAGCTTCCACCATCCCAGACTCGTGACACCTCACCACCACCTCCTGTCATCATTAACCACACCAACATCAAGACTGTTGACAAGTTCTGCTACCTTGGCAGCACCATAAGCAACATTGGTTCCCTGGACGCATAGGTAACGCTGCGTATTGCAAAGCCCAGTGCTGCTTTCGGCAGACTAAAGAGAAGACTCTGGCAGGAACACGGCATCAAGATCGTCACCAAAATTGCTGTGTACAGGGCTGTGGTCCTGAGTGTTCTGCTGTACTGCTGTGAAACCTGGACCACTTATTGCAGGCACATACAAAGCTGGAGCAGTTCCACCAGCGTTGCCTGAGAAAAATCCTCCGCATCAAGTGGCAGGACAAAGTGTCCAACCTTGAAGTCCTTGAAAGGTGTGGACTCTCCAACATTGAGAGCTTGATCATCAAAGCTCAACTTCGATGGACAGGCCATGTCGTAAGGATGGATGAC